GGGGGCTCCCGCGCAGGCCGGGAGCTCGCGTGCACGCCGCCGGGTGATCACAGGCAGGCAGGCAGGCAGGCAGCTGAAAAAAAACCCCCTCTGGGGTCTTTGGGGCCTTCCTGGTCTAAGTATTCGTAATATTAATGAAACCCAAGGGGTGATGTTTATGTCTCCTTTTCTGTGTAAGTTTACTTGCCCTTCTATATTCACTTTTTGGTAATGTTTCATTGTAGGTCTATAGACATTATGTGCACTTTTAACTTACCTTTTACAATGATTAATGTTAAATTAGATGAAATTCTGTTTCAAGTAGGTCTTAGTAATGTCCTAAATGGGTAGTTCCTTTTTGTTCATACATGATGATCTGGTTTAATAGTGCAGAGCCTTTTAAGTTCAGCATTTTGAGAGCAGCTTCTGCCTTTTTTTTTTCTTGTGGCAGTGTTGGTAAAGCACTTACAGAGACACTAGTACATGAACAGGGCTTTCATTTTATTTTTTTACATTGCTCTAGTTTTTGTTTATTTCCTTTTTTTTTAAACCAAAGCATTTTGCTTAGATTCACTTAATGCATGCATGCATTCAAACATGAGTGTCCATTTCTCACCAGTCGGTATGTTAAGCAGTGCTCAGCCCTCATTTGGTTTCGGAATGTATGCTCTGCTCCACTGCCATTGACATGTTTGCTCTGTTTGTGTGTAGGTCCTATGCATAGTCAGTTGGAATCCCTGAGTGACTCTTGGGTCCGTCTGAAACATAGCAGAGACTGGTTATACAACTCTTCTTACTCCTTTGAATCTGATTTTGACTTCACCAAGTCTTTGGGAGTTCACACTTTGATTGAAAATGTTGTAAGCTTTGTGAGTGGAGATGTGGGGAATACTCCAGGCTTTAAAGAACCAGAGGAAAGTATGTCTACAAGTCCCCAGGCTTCCATCATTGCAATGGAACAGCAGCAGTTAAGAGCAGAAGTAAGTGTTTGTTTATTCCCCACAAGAGATTCTGGAATCACCAAATGTACAATGCATGGAAAAGCTCTTCTTTTTTTCCCCATTCTTTGTCTCTTCCTTTCATCCACCCAAGCACTTTGACATTCTTTCTTGACTAAAACAGTGCTGTGTTTTGTTTGAACTGGACAAAAGTATGTTTAAAAACTGTCACTTATTAGAATAATGAGGTACTCTAATTGTAAGCCTTTCTTTGTCTCCTAGAAACTAGGATCATTGGCTGGTGATAATAGGGATCTGCCTCTCAGATTCTCTATAGTGAATCGGGAAGATAGAGGCCAAAGTTCAAGAGAACCACAGAGAAACAATTCAGAATTCTAATTTTTGAGCTAAAAAAATACTCCTTCTAGGTGAGCCTAGTGCAGGCCCATAATGTCAACAATCAGGGGGCTGAGACAGGAGAACTACAAGTTTAGGTCCATCTTGGACAATTTAGCAACTTAGTGAGACCCTCTCTCAAAATTTGAAAAAAAAAAAAGAGTGGGGATGTAGCTCATTGCAGAGGGCTTGGATTCAATCCCTACTACTGCCCCCTTCCCCAAAGACAATATTCATTCTATATAATCTTGTTATGCTTATACTACCTTACAGTTTTGAAATGTTTGACTACATCACTCGTGAGCTTCACAATAGCTCTGTGAGTAGGTTAAATAAGGTACTGTTAATCTCATTTATACTTGAAGAAACTGGTTCTCAAGAAGTTAACTTACTTTTCAAAGACCAAAGATTTAGTCTTAATACCACATCTTCATCTAAATTTTCTTTAAGAGCCAGAGTTATAGCTCAGTAGTAGAGCACATGGTTAAATTAACATGGGCAAAGCCCTGGGTTCAGTCCCCAGCACCAAAAACAAATCTAAATCAGGTGCTTTTCCCTCTGTACTTTGTAGCTCTTTTAAATGCTTAAGCATTCTTATAGAGTTTTTAGAGGTATTTTGAAATAAACAACAGTAATAATAATAAAAAAATTGGCAGAATAGGTTACTAGGAAATGTCAGAATTTTTTGTGCTAAATAATAGATTGTGGTGTACAGGAATCTTTTATACCTGAGTTCAGTGAAGAATTCTAAAATATGTTTTTCTCCTCAAGCTTCGCTTGGAGGCACTTCACCAGATCCTTGTTCTGTTGTCTGGGATGGAAGAAAAAGGTAGCCTCTCGTTGGCAGGAAGCAGGTCTAGTTCAGGCTTTCAGTCGTCCACCTTGCTCACATCTGTGAGACTGCAGTTCCTTGCAGGGTGTTTTGGTTTAGGCACTGTTGGACACTCAGGAGCCAAAGGACAGAGTGGCCGGTTGCATCACTATCAGGTAGGTAACACTTTGAAGTATACTCAGATTTTAACTGTCTTTGTATGATAAAGACATTGTACTATGAAACTGTAGTGTTTGTGATTGAGGTTTAAAAATGTAAAGATTTAAAAGTAACCTTTTAAAGCTATCTGATTAAGCTCCTAAATACAGTTAGGATTAGATAAGCCATAATGCTATTGTACTTTTTGGTTCAGTTTTATTATCCTGTAGCCAGATTAGGTAGAGCTAGAGATGTAAATTAGAGTTTAGAAAGTGTTTTACATTTTTAGATTTGATTGTTACCTAGATTTGATTCTTTTTATAATTTTTTAAATGCTGCCTGTATATCATATTCTTAGGAAATACTGCTCTATTATAAAGAAAGATTGTACAGTTAGGAATTATCAACCATTTAAAATAGATTTATTATTAATCTGTTATATGCTGAGAGATAGTAAATAAAAACTAATCACGTGCCCTAGGATAGTCTAGGGATAAAATGTTATTACTTCTTTTGCAAAAATGTATTATTATTGCTAATAACATGTAATTTATGTGTAATTCAGGATGGGATCAGAGCAGCTAAGAGAAGTATTCAGATTGAAATCCAAGTGGCTGTGCACAAGATTTACCAACAGTTGTCTGCTACTCTGGAGAGAGCCCTGCAAGCAAATAAACATCACATTGGTGAGTCGTTATTCTTGCAGATGCAAGATGCAGGATGCCTTTTACCTGAGGGCATGGTGGGTAATTATGCTGTTTTATATGCTTAATATCCTTAGACTGTCATTAAAGAATAAAAATTCCATATTACTCTTTACGTTTTGGAAAAAATTTTAGCAAATTACTGTTTAAAAATATTATCAGTCATTTCCCTCTCTTTTTTTTTAATAGAAGCCCAGCAACGTCTCCTTTTGGTAACAGTTTTTGCCCTGAGTGTTCATTATCAACCAGTGGATGTTTCCTTGGCAATTTCCACCGGTCTTCTAAACGTCCTGTCACAGTTATGTGGTACAGACACCATGTTAGGACAACCCTTGCAATTATTGCCAAAGACTGGTGTTTCCCAGCTGAGCACAGCCTTGAAAGTGGCCAGTACCAGGTTGCTTCAGATTCTAGCTATCACTACAGGGTAAGTGTCGTAAATGTCTTGGTAGAGCTATCCTGGGCCTGGTCTTGCCACACGTTCCACAGTGTTTGCCTTTTCTATTCTTACCACTTTAAAAAATTCCTTGTATCTCACATAGGACCTATGCTGATAAACTGAGCCCCAAGGTAGTTCAATCCTTGTTGGATCTACTCTGTAGTCAACTGAAGAGCTTGTTATCTCAAACTGGTGTACTACTTATGGCCTCTTTTGGAGAAGGGGAAGGAGAAGAGCTTGAAGAAGAAGAAAAAAAAGTTGACTCTAGTGGAGAAGCTGAGAAGAAAGACTTCAGAGGTATCATAGGCTTTTTCTCTCTCATTAACTAGTGGTATTTACTGCACCCTTATTGAGTGTGATAAAAATGTAGACTTCTTTCCATTGTGAGACATGAAAGGGTTTTTGTCTGTTCATTTACAAACCACTTTTCTTTCAGCTCTGTATGATTTAGACAAGTTGAATGAAACCTCCTCTGATTAAAGTCTGTTTATCCTGAGCCTACAACCAAGCTGTACATTTTCTCTAGGTTCAGCCTAGACTCTCTTTGGCTGTCCAGCTCTAGGAGACAGATTTTAGGTGACTGACTTCCTCCAGGTTATGTCTTGCCTAGGGGAAGCTCAGATTGTTTCTTAGTATTTGGTCCTGACAAACCATCTCTAACCACAGTCCTGGCCTCAAGGGTTGCTGGAGCCTAGGGGTTTTGATGTTTGAGAGAGGAGCTTGACTTCTCCATATGTTGTTCCATTCTGTGCTAAGGATAGAACTCTGTATTATATTTACTGCATGCTTTTTGGTTGCTGATAAATGGCATTTTTCTGGTGACTTTATAGTGAACACTGTTCTCAGTAAAATTTATACCCTGCAGAACTACTACATATATCTTTTATATAATTAAGGGAAGAGATGTCTGAGGTTGGTCACTTATTCAAAAAAGATTGTGATCCTGACATATCTTATCACCATAGTAACTGTGGAACCCTTCAAGTCCTTTCTGGATTACATGGATTGATAAAGTAAGAGAGCAAGTTACTTAACGGTTCTGTGTTCCAATTCTGTCATGTATAAATATAAGGATAATTATAGAACCAACCTCCAAAGATTGTTATGAGGATTAAATAACCTAATACATTAAAGCCTGTAGAATAGTGCCTGGCACATAGTAAAAGCTCCGTGAATGTTAATATTGGAATATTATAATAAATATTAAAAGTTAAATGGAGATACTGCTTAAATTATATTAGTATTGTTGACCTCTAGATAGATAGAAGAAATATCCTGGGGATGCAAAATAATAAAGTATTATTCTGCCCTCATGAGCCTTTTAAAGCAATGAGGGAGCCAGACATGTAAACAGATAATTGCATTATAACGAAGAAGGTCAGAAGAAATGTCTGAATCTCTTAAGTCTGAAGGTTATAGAAATCTAACTAAGGACCAACTAGCTTTCCAGTTTTGAGAGGCTAAATCAGTGGCGAGTTTGTTTTCTTTCTATCTGTGTAAGAGGAGGGTCCCTTCCTCAAAGACTCGCAAGGTCTGATAAAGTGAAAACGATGTTTCCTGCCACCTCCTGCTTCCCTGAAGTCCAGTAGGGGACAAGTGTTGTTAAGAGACGATGTTCTCACCGGTGGACCACAGAGGAGAGGTTGTAGAGTCACTTTCCAGCCTTGAGAGCCTCAAGAAAACTGACTCTTTCTGTGTCCAGTAAAGAGAAAGCCAGTTCTGTGACTACGACTTGGCTTTGTAATAGCGGTCTCTGTGTCCATGACATTTCCCTCTAGTTGTCCTTCAGAGACAGTCATTGGACCCTCTCTGTTATATTGAAGATTGCAAGGAATGACTCTAGTCAGCAGCGGTCAGGAATTCAGAGCAGTCTGCCAGGTATTAGTAACCCCTAATCCTTCTAAAATACTTAATTGGAAAGAAGGTACATTTTCCATTTGAAATGTAGCAATGACCCTCAGACACAAATTGTACAATCAAATTGTATCAATCAGCTTTATATTTAGGGCCTCTAGGCTTTAAATAATTTAATTATGTTAGTGTTTTTTTTCAGAAATACTTGCTGCGGGTGGGAAGTAGAATGACCTTATACAAAGTTTTCCCAGGGAGCCTCTACAAAGAGAGAAGGCTTCATGGAAGAAATAGCTGTTAAACTAGAGTGTGCAGGGACAAGCTTGGAGTGAAATACATGCATTTAACATGAAAAACTGTTTGCTTAGCGTGTAAGTGAAGAAGAGGCAGAGTTCTGTGTGGAAGAAATGTAGAGGTGGAGGAGTTCTCAGTTGTTTCTGCTGTAGTTGTCCTCATTAGTTTAGTCATGTCATAGACTTGAACACCCATCTCTGGGTAGTGTTAGCTGGATGCACCTTCTTGTCAAGGTAGGTTGTTGGTCTTGCATTGTCACTGCAGCATACCCCTAATGGGAGTCCCCCTCCGTCACAACTGACTTGTCTATGTATTTGTTACTTCAGCAAGCCAGAATCTTTCTGAAAGAGTACTGTATGTATGGGCTCCATTTTGTTACAATTTTCCATTTTTTTAACTGTCCCCTGGGGATTGAATTCTGGATAGCTGGCCCACTGGCACAGTTCTGGTTGAGGAGGTGTTAAAGGCGTTATGTGATAGGGAAGGGGGGTGTACTACAGGAAGAGCAGGTAGTTCTGAATCGGTGAGAATGGGAGAGGGAAGAAGGTGGTGTAGATGCGGGTGGAGAAACAGGTAATGGTGTTAACAGGTTCTATATAGAGAGATTGCTCTCTGGCAAAGCACATGCTTGCCTAGAAGTTTAGGGGTTCTTTGTGTTTTGTAGAATCTGAGAAGACAGAATATCTTTTAGAGATGTTGGAGTTGAGGGGTCATGGAAGTTTTTGAAAGTATATTAAATTAAAGGATGTGAACTTTTTCCTATTTAAATACACTCACATATGGTGGTGCTCGCCTGTAATCCCAGCACTCGGGAGGCTGAGGCAGGAGGATCGCTGTGAGTTCGAGACCAGCCTGGGCTACATAGTGAGTTCTAGGTCATTCTCAACTACATAGTGAGACCTTGTCTCAACCCCCCCCCAAAAAAAAACCTAAATACACTCACATAAATACTTTTCATACAATCTTAGAGGATCCATGGACCATCCAAAAAATTTTGTCCATTAGAACTTTTGATTTGGGTAAGGAACCATTGCTTTTTAGAGGAGTAGCTAAAAAAGATCAAACAAGTACACATAAACATTCTAGTTTATTCAGTCTTATTGTGGACAATGTAAAAGATGTTTCATTTAGCTTTTAAGTCTTCAAAAGTCAGTAGCTTACTGAAAACCTAGCATGAGAACAAGATTTGTGCTCCCTGCAATACAAATGTAAGCTCTGTGAGATAAGACCATTTCCTTTTGGTTTAATGTAAACTTGTCTCTTCACTCTTCAGCTGTTCTTAGGAAACAACATGCAGCCGAACTCCATCTTGGGGATTTTTTAGTTTTTCTTCGCAGAGTTGTGTCTTCAAAAGCAATTCAATCAAAAATGGCTTCCCCAAAGTGGACAGAGGTGCTTCTAAATATAGCGTCTCAGAAGTGTTCCTCAGGTATGTATGTCCTTTGCCTGTGTTGTAGTTTTTTCACGTATCATATTTAGACTTTAACAAATTAGACATTTGACCTTGATTTCAAAGGTTTTTTTTTTTTTCTTGTTTTCTTGTTTTCAGGTGTAACAAGTGATAGAGGATTAATAATAGAAAGTGGTACTGTTGAGTTTCATGGCACCTACCAATAAACCCAGCACTCTAGTAGGCTGAAACAAGAGGATTGCAAGTTTGAACCCAGCCTGAGCAATTTAGTGACTTAGCAAGACCCTCTCTTAAAAAGAGGGGTGGGATGGGTCGGGGATTTAGCTCAGTGGTTCGGTGGCCTGCCTTGCAAGCGCAAGGACCCGAGTTCAATCCACGATACCAAAAAAAAAAAAAAAAAAAAAAAGAGGGGTGGGGGCAGAGAAGTAGGTCAGTTGAAAGCTCTGGGGTCATTCCACAGTGCTGCTGGGGGTGGGGGGAGCACTGGAAGACATTGTGGGGTTAGAGACTTTGACCCTGTTTGTTTAGATTATGACACATACTAAAAATAAATGGAGAGCATTCTGTTTAATATAATAATTGGGCACGGGTTTTCTGGCCTCCCTTCTTGGATTGGGATGTTACAGATATGAATTGGCCCGTTCTTTTTTTTTATCATGATGTGATTTAAGTTGCTTTGTGACTGCTGATTGTGTGATAGCTATGACAGTTCTCTATAGAAAGCCTAATTTCTGGCTCTTAGACTAAAAGTCTGGTCTGTTTACATAGATTGCTACAGTCCTTTCCTAGTCTTTTTAAAAAAATTTTGATAAAATGTGAGCAATATGAAATTTATCATTTTGATCATTTAAAACAATTCAGTGCCATTAAGAATATTCATAATTATTGTACAACTATCCATTTCCAGAACTTTTTTTATCAGCCCAAGTATGTTTTAAAATTGCTAGAACAAAATATAGTGTTTCATGTTATTTTATATTTACATTTTCAGTATACTTCAGCATTTTTTCTGTAGCATAATTTGCAACAGCTTTTTATTTCATTTAATAAAATGAGGCTTATATTAAATTCTTAAGCACAAAGAAAACCCAGATAATTACTTTCAACTGGTTTTGTTATAATTATGTGTAGAAAAAAAAATGTATTTATGCATCAGTATTCTGTCTCTACCTTTGCTAACTTTAGGAAAGTGTAGACTGCTTTGTCCTAATTAACCCTAACAGTCTTTGTGAGTCAGTCAGGTGGTGGACTAGAGAGAGGTAGTGGGAAGGTGTCAATAAGCATGAGTGTAAGGGATTCACAGGCCCATTTAAAATTCTACCTCTCCTGAGCTGTGTGGCTGTGGTCAATGATTAACTACTCTGAGCTACAGGCTTCTTTGTAAAATGGGGCTATAAATCAGAGTCTGGAAGGATTAATGGGGCTAATGCAGGTAAAATGGATAGCATAGTACCTGGCATGGGTAGTTATTTTAGTGGGAAATGAAAATTGAGGCATAAACAGGTTATTCATGCATGTGATAATGGATTGAAAGGAAGTCTTTCAGGCTGGGGATTTTAGCTGGGTGGTTGTGCCGCCTGTTTTACAAGCACAAAGTTCTGAGTTCGATCTCCTCCGTACCAAAAAAGAAAACGGAAAAACAAAAAACTGAGAGGAAGTCCTTACTCATAAATGCTCAACAACCTCAGGATTTCTTTTCAAGAAGTTCCTTTTAACTTTGAATTTGCATCACAATGATAAGAAAATGTCTTTTTACCCCACCAGGTATTCCTCTAGTCGGTAATTTAAGAACAAGGCTCCTGGCACTTCATGTCCTTGAAGCTGTGCTTCCTGCTTGTGAATCTGGTGTAGAAGATGACCAAATGGCCCAGGTTTCTATTTTTAAAGTTACCAGAAGACTTGTTTCCATTCCTGCATTGTGATTCACCCAAAATCTAAACTTGTGTATAGTTTATTTAGTTATAAATGTGTCACATATTCAATAGCACAACTTCCACTTTTGAGACTAATTTCTTTATTAGTTTTCTCAAGGAAGGAGAAATAAAGTTAGGATGTGTGAGTAGTAGAGCGAGAGGGAATACTTGCAAAGTCAAAAGGGAAGAACAGTCTGGAATTTCTTACAAGGTCTGGGCCTCTCAGAAGAGAAATATGTGAGGTTATACAGCCTAATCAGAGGCCCATGTGTAGTAAGGCAACATATGAGCAATGGAACCCGCTTTCTAGTGGGTGAGTGGTCTTTCTAAAAAGAAAGTAACATAGCCAAAGTAGCTGTTGGACATTGGTGTAATTATATTACAGTTGTATTTCATGTGTGATTTAATAGTCTATATATTTTTAAAAAAATTTCTTCTTTATAAATTTCATTGTCTTTTTTCCTTCAATAAATCAGGTTGTGGAACGCTTATTTTCCCTTCTATCAGATTGCATGTGGGAGACTCCCATTGCTCAGGCCAAACATGCTATTCAGATAAAGGAAAAAGAACAAGAAATAAAATTACAGGTAATTGATTCTTCCAAAACGGTGTTTTTACACAGCACAAGGGAGTATCCTATCGCTCTTCTGGGTGCTGTGTCCTCTAGAGAACTTTGCTCTATCAGTTACTCCCTTTCTTCTGCATTCTGTCTCTTTCTCCACTGGTTTCTTCCCCCTCAGGTTAGACCCACGCTTATCACAAATCACATTTTTATCAATGATAACCTCTACATCCTCTCTCTTGTTTGTCAGAACTAAATTTCTCAGAAGAATAATGTATGCCTCAGCCTCTTTCTTCTCATTGTCTCTTTAACCCAAGTGTCTTATCTTCCATAGAGATACCAGAATTAAATTTCAAAGATAAGTGCTAATTGCTGAATACAGTGTACAGGAAATTGGTTTTAGGATCTCCCGAGTGCAAAAATCAGTAGATGCTGAAATCCCTTATAAAAGATGGTGTAATGTTTGCATGCTGTCTAAGCATATCCTCTTATGTATTTGAGTAATCTCTAGATTGTTTCTAATAATAAAGTGTAAATAGTTGCTATATAGTATTATTCAGGGAATAATGACAAGAAAAGGGTCTGTGTATGTTCACTATAGTTGCAGATTAAAAAAAATACCGTTCCAGCTGGGTTTGGTGATATAACCTGTAATTTGAGCTAGTTGAGAGTATGAGACCTTGTCACTAAAACAGTTTTTTTTCCCAATCTGTGACTGATTGAATCTGCAGGTGCAGAACCCAGGCTATAGAAGGCCTACTGTCTGCTTTATGGTCCACATTTTACTTGTCCTAATGTCAGGTTTCTGTTTTCAGTGGAACACTTTTTCTGGATCTCTACATATTCTGTCAATCCTTGATTCTCTTTGGAAGTGACTGTTATTTGGTGCCGCTTTCACTTTCCCTCCATCTCAAAATATTGATATTCCTTTAAAATTCTCTTTTCAGCTTTCCTAGCAGCTTTGTTCCTATCCATGAACGTATTCACCTACATGCAGTACCTTCCAAACTTATATGCTACCCTAATTGTCTCCACCGTAAAACTTTCCCCCTTTCTTCCTGTCCCATTTCTGGATAATGATACCATTATTCCTCTTGTTTTCTAACCCTAAATTCCGGGAACTACTAGATTCTCCTACGACTTCATGCATGTAGCCACTGGGGTCATTGATTTTTACCTCCCAAATTGCTCTTGAATGCACACATCTAAATTCTCTTAGCCTTCGTTATTCTGCATTTTCTGGTTTTCCTTCTATCTTGCTAAAAAGGCTTCTTATGTGCCTTTATTGATTTTTCTTTTTGGTATAATTATAGTGTAGGAATATCACAAGACCTAATCCCATTACACTTTCTTTTTCTTCAACCATCACTCTCATTCCTTTTTCTATACCCAAATAAACTTTGTTCCGGCCCATATGCCATTAATCTCCAAATTTTACTTAAAATTTTAGCATTTCTCCTGAATTCTAGACCATTCAGTGTGTAAAAAATAGCATCCTTAGTTCCATTACATCTTATTCCTTCTCCAGGTTTTCCCAGGCTCCTAGCTACTCAGGCACAAAAACCTAAGAGTCAGCTTTGATCCTCTCATTATCCCTGTCCTCTTTTCTCCATCTATACAATCTCTAGCTCTTTTGTTGGCTCTTCTTTAAAATACAACTTAAAAAAAAAATACAACCTAAATTTGCCCACCTCCTTATCTCCTTTGTAGTTACCCTTTTCCAGGCCACTGTCGAGATTACAACAGTAGTATAGAGTTAGTATAGATCTCTACTTCCAGGGGCTGGGGACTTAGCTTTGTTTCCACCTCCTTCCTTGCAAGTGCAGGACCTGAGTTCAATCCCCAGTACCAGAGGAGGGGGAGAAATTCTACTTCCATTATTTCCTTCTGTAGTCCATTCTCTACAGAGGAGCCAACATAAGTTTTGTTTTTTAACAGTACAATTGCATTTATTATTGGGATTTTGCTCCTTTACATGACAGGTCTTGGTTCTCATTTTTTTTTGGGACTGGGGATCGAACTCGGGTCCTTGCGCTTGCGAGGCAGGCCACCCAACCGCTGAGCTAAATCCCCGGCCCTTGGTTCTCATTTTTTACCCTTGTCCCTGCCCTCCCTTTCTTTTAAGATTGTTAATCACAGAAAGTTGATTCCCTTCTTAAAACCCTCCAGTTTTGTTTTTTTTTTTAATTCTTGGGATAAAATCTAGAACTTCCTGTCTGCCTTTGCCCACTGTATCCTAAATACCTTTCTTCTTTTTCCTTGCTTTCCTCCCTCCCTTCTTCCTCTTCTTCCTTTACCCTGAGTTACATTCCCCCAGTCCTTTTTGTTTTTTATTTTGAGACATGGTCTTGCTAAATTGCCCAGGATCAACTCAAGCTTGTATTCCTCTTGCCTCAGTCTTCCAAGTAACTCATCACAGCCATGCCCCAGTACACCTGGCACCTCATTCCTTTTTCATAGACACATCAAGTTTCTTCCTCCTTTGGGCTTTAAGCTGCGTATTCCCTGTGATGCGTTTCAAAACCTAATATCATTTAATCTCAATTTAAGTATCACTTCTTCAGAGAGTCCTTCCCCGTCAGTCTAGTCACATAACCTTTGTCACATCACCTGTTTTAATTTCAACACGGCATTTACTACCTTTGTTTTCTTATTTTTTTGTCCCCCTCTTCCAAAGTATAAGTTATTTGAGAATAGAGATCTTATTTATCTTTATGCACTGCCTGATATAGAAGTCCTGATAGGGTTCCTGGCACAGAGTAGATATGTAATAAATGTTCATTGAATTAATGAATTTAAACCCTCGCTAGTTATTACCACCCTTCTTGTAGCAGTCTCCAGATTAGTCTGTCTGTTTTCATCTGGCATACCTCTCGTGAAATGTTTATAAAGCACAGATCTGTTTCTAGAATCTCTATATAAATTATCTGTATAGGCATTCCTTAGTCTATAAAGTCTAAACTTAATATAGTATACAAGGCCTTCCATGATTTTGTGTTGTCTCTTTTTTTCTGGGCTTGTTTTTTTGCTGTTCTCCTCTGTACATGCTATACTGTTTGCGATGATTTTAAGTAACTGAACACTTTCATGCCTTGGCACATGCTGTGTGCCTGCCTCAGGTGCCTTTCTCTTCTGTGACCATGTGCTTAATGTCTTCTCATCATTCAGGAGTCAGTTTGGAAGTTACTCTCTTTTGAATGTTTACCTTGTCCTTCTCAAGCACACTTAAGACACATACTTTTATGTTGCTATTATAGCTATCATGTAACTTCTGTTGTTTTGGCGTTGTGGAACTGTCGTTATTTGTCTTTGTCCCCTAATTAGAGTATAAGATCTTTTATGGGCAGGATCCATGCTCTGTTTGGTGTTGTGCCCCCAGTGCCTTATACAATAACTGTTACTTGGTAGCTAATTAATAAATGTTTGTGGGATTAAACCAAGGAGCCTCGGGATATTATTTGATTTCCTCCAAAATACTGACCCAACTTCCTTTCTGGTAGAAGCAGGGAGATTTGGAGGAAGAAGATGAGAACCTTCCTATACAAGAAGTTTCTTTTGACCCAGAGAAAGCTCAGTGTTGCTTAGTGGAGAATGGACAGGTTTTAACTCATGGCAGTGGAGGAAAAGGATATGGATTAGCGTCAACTGGAGTAACTTCTGGGTGCTATCAGTGGAAGGTATGTGGAATTCTTAATAGTGGTTAGTATTTTGTCTTTTAGTCCCAGGTTCTTATAAGAAAAAAAAATATGTGGAAAGATTTAAATCATTATATGCAAGTGATGTGCTATTATTGTGTAAGGTGTTGTAGGTGGAAACTGAGTGAAGGATATTTACTAACTCTGTAGTGTTTTTATAACTCTTTTCTAACTCTGCAATTATCTTATAATTTTAAAAAGGTATATAAAAAACTGTTTTGTCCTCATGAAGAGTCAATACAGCACATTTCTCCCCTACTAGTGAAAATGCATTAACATCTCTGTGATCTTTTGCCTGGGAAAGCCTTTTAGCAATTTATCTCCCAAGCATCCAGAGGTGCTTTATTATGTAGTTACTTTCTGACTGCCATCAACTAAAAATGTAGATGGCCAGAAGGAGAATCCATATTTGTATAATCTAGGCATAATGAGCCAGCCTTCTAAGTTGGGGAGATACTTATCAATGTAGGGAACCATTTCTTACCAGTTGAGTTTCCCAATGCCAGCCAAGGGCCAAGATTGCAAACAATTGTTCCTAAGGATAACAGTGCCTGTGCCTTTTCTGTGCAGTGTACCCCATTGATTCTTGGCCACCAGGCTTTCATAATAAAACTGTTAATAGGACCCCCCCCCACCAGGCAGCAGGTGAGAGCAACTGTAGTATTGACCCTAATTACACATTTTAGGATTCTCGGACTTAGCCAGTTAAAACAAATCATAAACCATTAAGATCTATTTAGCCATGTGACTTCATTTTTAAGTTTATGTATTAACTTTTAAAGCCTAACTAACCTAGGCACTGATTAACACAGAACAAGTGGCCAGTCTTGTGCAGAGGTAATTACATGGTGCACATACTAGAACCATAATCCCACAGGACATGTGTAGTCTCCCTAGAAACTAAGCGTTTATAATTGTTAGGGCACCACTTATCAGGACATATAATAATCAGGTAATACAGGTTAACATGGCCCCATTTGGCCTGCCACTATTCTGTGAATAATTTAGTTGACCTGGTTTCATAGGGACTGTCTGAAAGCAGTTTGAAAGGATTTTGTTGTCTATGTTGTCAGTTTGCTATCTAGTGTATGGATGGCTTCTGGCAATGTTTTGTGGAAAGTTCGGAACAGGTGAGGGGTATATAATCAAACCATCACTATATTTTTGTAAATTGTAACTAATCCAGAAAGTGAAACATAATAGCAGTGGGACATCACCAAAAGGTAGATTAGAGTCCAGTTTCTCAAGAGTGGATGGTGAGATGTTGCCTCTTGTAGTTTCCTATTGTTTAGCCTTTAGCTTTCAGTAGGAGTCATAAGTTAGATATGTAATCAGTCTCAGTATCTGAAGTATATAACCAATCAGCAGTTTAAATATAGATGATTCCATCCAAAAAGAAGCCATTTCTCATAAGCATCTGCAGGAAACCCAACGGTCTAGCCAGCATCCATCATGTTTTCATAGTTTATGGCCCCACAGAAGAGTGTCCTAAATCAGCAGCCTCCAAATTTGTGTTCTGTTCATTTAGTCTCTGCCTACTTTTAGTTGGCACAGTCATCAGTGGGCTGAAACGGTACACGACAGACAGTATGGGATTTTCATTTAGAATCCAAGCAATTAGAATTATGAGTTCAGGATTCCAAAAAGCCAGCAGTTTTTTTTTGGAGGTGGGGGGCAACAGTAAGGCCTAGATGTCTGTGTGGTTAAGTCCAGGTGACCAGCAAGACTTCCCCAAGGAAGCTCTTTTTGTTTGTCATTCTTAAGTTCAAACTGATCCACGCAAAAATGTGCGCTTAAGGCAGGACCATCACCAGCCTCTGTGTCAGACATCTGATTTTATTAAAAATTATTGCCAACTGAAAACTGCTTTATACAACTCTAAAAGTGGGGGTCAGGGCCTTAGCTCAGTGGTGCCGCACCAGCCTTGCAAGTGCAAGGTCCTGAGTTTGATCCTAGGTACTGGGGGGCGAAAACTGAAAGAAAAAACAAAATAAAACAAAATCTTCTATAAGTATATGCGTGTATCATTGTCTAGAGCTTGTCTCTTTTTATATTTTGTCTTTCTTTTTCTGAGGCTCCAACAAGAAAAGTCAGAGTAAAAATATCACCAGTTATGGACATATTTTTTTTCAGTACACAGTTTAAATTGTAATCCACCTGCTAGTGGCAAAAAGCAAGGAAGTTATGTACCAGTAACCCAGTGATGACGAACCTTTTAGAGACGCAATGCCCACACTGCAACCCCAAACCCACTTACTTATCACAAAGTGCCAATACTGCAATTAAACTTCAGTGCTGAGGTTTTAGCTTAGAAAAAACAATTTCAATTGTTAGCTCAACTGCTGGGACGACTTGGCTCATATGCTGACAGGGAGGGCTGTGTGTACCCACTGCAACATATGTGCCATGGATTGGCCACTGCTGCAGGCCTGCTTTTCTTTTGCATCTTTCCTTAGCTTGTGAAGTTAAAAAAACTATATAACCTTTTATATCAGATTTTTAATTATACATCCAGATAAAAAAATCACAAGCTGTTTTAAAATTTTTCTTTTTCCTTTCCCCTTAGATCTTAAATTTATTCAAACCCTTCAAAGAAAATTTAGCATTCATAGAGTTACTTGGTGGGGGAGGAGAAGCTATTGTGGTGGTAGCAGGAAGCTGAAGAAAATAATGTTTCTGTTTTGGTTTGTAGAACTGATGTATCCTTTTCCTCTCCTACTTGGAGGAAAGAGTACGCACACTTCTTATATTATTGGTCTGCCCAAAGCTCGCTTTCAAAGATATTTGAATCACTTTTCCTCTCACTAGAGGAGAGAGTAACTACAAGCTCATTTTTATTCTTTGGGCCATCCAAAGCCAATAGGAATTGCTGCCTTTTTCTTCCCACCTGGAAAACAGAACAGTACAAAATCTCTTCAGCTGCTCTTTTTTTTCCCCTGATGTCAGCTAGCAATGCCAAAGGCAGCAGGATCCAGCAAGCTTGGTTTGCTGTGGATGGGTCTTTATTTTTGAAATTCTGTAGATGACTTGTTAGAGATAACTTTTACCTCTAACAATAGATAATATCTCACTCACTATTTCATACTGTATATAACTCCAAAGGCACCTGAACCCTGGAATTTTGTCTTTTCTAACTTCCTTTCTTTCCCCAAATAATGCTATAACTCTATTTTGAAGAGTCAGGGTTATTCTAGTGGATTTCTTTGCCACAACCTCTGTGTCATGGATCCTCAAAACTACCCTCATCTTCAGAGATTCACTGGAGAACTCAGCCTAGTTGTACTCCTGAGTGAAATTTACTGTGCAGTAAGGTTATATAGCTCCATGATAAAGGAAAGACACAGGTAGAGTATGGAAGGATCCACGTGCAGGTGTCCATGTTTTTTTCTTTTCATGAGCAATCTTTCCCCAGCAACAAAAATGGAGCAGACAATGTACATATCTCTGGGGATGCCCATTAGACTCAGAGGCCAAGCTTTCTGCTGGGGGCTGGACATGTAGCAACCTTCTATACAGCATGTACCAAATTCCAGACTCAGAAAGAAAGCAGGCGTTCAATATGAACTGCATTGTTCAGTTGCGCTTGGCCAGTGAGCCACCTTTTTGACTTAGGGCAAGTTCTCTGTTTATCTTTCTGTTCACCTTTTGAATTCCCAGTTAGTAGCCATGGGTCAGCGTTGTAAGCAGGCCTGCTATGTTAACTCCTGTCTGAACAGAAGTACACACAAGAGAGAAATTTAAAAATCTGTATGTAAAAAATGAATAGTTTCCTAGACATACTTACTAGACATACTTCCTTAGCTTCATAATTAAGTTGCAAACTGAAATTACTTACTTAAAATGTCAGAGATATAAAAAGATTATTTTTTAACATTCTGCAAGGTAAAGAATAAAATTGTTTTAAAATCTTTATAAATTGGGGGCCGGGGATTTAGCTCAGCAGTTCGGTGGCCTGCCTTGCAAGCGCAAGGACCCGAGTTCAATCCCCACTACCAAAAAAAAAAAAAAATCTTTATAAATTGGGGGCCGGGGATTTAGCTCAGCAGTTCGGTGGCCTGCCTTGCAAGCGCAAGGACCCGAGTTCAATCCCCACTACCAAAAAAAAAAAAAAATCTTTATAAATTGGGGGCCGGGGATTTAGCTCAGCAGTTCGGTGGCCTGCCTTGCAAGCGCAAGGACCCGAGTTCAATCCCCACTACCAAAAAAAAAAAAAAATCTTTATAAATTGGGGGCCGGGGATTTAGCTCAGCAGTTCGGTGGCCTGCCTTGCAAGCGCAAGGACCCGAGTTCAATCCCCACTACCAAAAAAAAAAAAAAATCTTTATAAATTGGGGGCCGGGGATTTAGCTCAGCAGTTCGGTGGCCTGCCTTGCAAGCGCAAGGACCCGAGTTCAATCCCCACTACCAAAAAAAAAAAAAAATCTTTATAAATTGGGGGCCGGGGATTTAGCTCAGCAGTTCGGTGGCCTGCCTTGCAAGCGCAAGGACCCGAGTTCAATCCCCACTACCAAAAAAAAAAAAAAATCTTTATAAATTGGGGGCCGGGGATTTAGCTCAGCAGTTCGGTGGCCTGCCTTGCAAGCGCAAGGACCCGAGTTCAATCCCCACTACCAAAAAAAAAAAAAAAAATCTTTATAAATTGGGCTGGGGATTTAGCTCAGTGGGGCTGCCACCTGCCTTGCAGCCCAAAGTCTGGAGTTCAATCCCTGGTGCCCCCCCAAAAAATCTTTATGAATTAATGAAGTTATTTTTATATTTCCACTTAAGCTAAAAAATATATTTCCATAAATGCCTAAGTATTTATTTAAATGTATTCTGAAGTGTTGGTTTATACAGTAATTAGCATTATATGCTCTTTTGTATTCATGAATATTGTGACTTATATTTTAGTTTTACATCGTGAAAGAAAACAGAGGTAATGAAGGCACGTGTGTTGGAGTTTCTCGCTGGCCAGTCCATGACTTTAACCACCGCACTACCTCGGATATGTGGCTCTACAGGGCCTACAGTGGCAACCTCTATCACAATGGAGAACAGACTCTGACACTGTCCAGCTTTACTCAAGGGGATTTCATTACTTGTGTGTTAGACATGGAAGCCAGGACCATTTCCTTTGGGAAAAATGGAGAGGTATTGAAACCCATGCATAAACATTGCTCTTTTTTTTTTTTTTTTCTAAAATTACATTCAATTCACTTGTTTAAGTGCTAGTTATCTACTTTATAGATTATTATCTATTTTCTTCCTCGTTTCTTCTCTCTCTTTCTCTCTCTTTCTTTCTTTCTGTTTTTTGGAGACAGTGTCTCACTGTGTAGTTGAGACTGCCCTGGAATTCACTATGTAGCCCAGGCTGGTCTCGACCTCACAGCGATCCTCCTGCCTCAGCCTCCTTAGTGCTGGGATTACAGGCATGCACCACCACATCTGGCTCTTCCTTCTTTTCTTTAGTACTTTCTGGCTCTCATAGTACTTTTCAGCACCAGCTGGGTGTGGTGGCACACTCCTGCAATCATAACATTCTGGAGGCTGAGGCACGAGCATCACTGTGAGTTCAAGCCAGCCTGGAGTACGTAATGAGCTCAAGGTCAGCCTGAACTGTATAGCAAGACCCTATCTCAAAAACCCAAAACCAAACAAATACTTTCAGCACCAAAGTAACAAGGTGATAAAGTTCTCAGTAAGATTTTTGAAACAGGTGAACAAATTAAGATCTTTTACGTAGAGTTAGTTGATGATTTTAGTTGAGTTTTGACTTTAGTTACAATTGTTCTATCTTATAAGGGCTTTAATTTTAATATAGTTAGTATCAATTAAAGCTTGTTTTTTCCTTTTTCTTGCCTCTGCCACATTCTAGGAACCCAAGTTAGCTTTCGAAGATGTGGATGCAGCAGAATTGTACCCATGTGTAATGTTCTACAGCAGCAATCCAGGGGAAAAGGTACTGAAACCTCACACTTTTACACTTAAGCTTTAAAAATATTTGTTCAGGGCCGGGCATTTAGCTCAGTGGTTCGGTGGCCTGCCTCGCAAGCGCAAGGACTGAGTTCAATCCCCAGTACCACCATAGCTTTCGAAGATGTGGATGCAGCAGAATTGTACCCATGTGTAATGTTCTACAGCAGCAATCCAGGGGAAAAGGTACTGAAACCTCACACTTTTACACTTAAGCTTTAAAAATATTTGTTCAGGGCCGGGCATTTAGCTCAGTGGTTCGGTGGCCTGCCTCGCAAGCGCAAGGACTGAGTTCAATCCCCAGTACCACCACAAATTTCTAGAAGAAGACTAGATACTTCTAGAAATTGTCTTTAGTGCACTATTTGATCCTCAGGCAATTTGAATATAATGAGTCAACTTTCAAATGTATGTACAGCAGCTGGAATTTTATGAAGTACATTAGGGATAATGTGGCGTGTTGGCGATTATGGACTTGAGAAAGAAATCTAGAAATAATTGTAAATGTAATGACAGGCCATTAGTCAAATAGTGATAGTTCTAGTAGTTCTGTTGAGAAATCACCTTTCACTCATTTAACTGGGAGGGTTCTTAGAACTTATAGATGGTATAAATTTGAGCCTTATGAGAATAATATTGAAGGGATACCTTCTCACTGAAACCTTTTTGTTTTCCTCTTTAAAACCCAACCAGAGAGACAACCTTTTCTAGTCTCCCTGCACTGGCCAGTGGATTTTTTTCCCATCCTTTTACTGGAGGATGTAATATAGCTTAAAGACATTATATTACAGTGATACGTGCACACGCATGTTTAGAGCAGCACACACATAATAGATAAATCTTGGAAGCAGCCTATATGTGGAACAGCAGATGAATGCATAAAGACAGTGTGGCATTTATACATAGTGCTACATTGCCATAAAGAAGGATAAACGAGTCATTTGTAGGAAAATGGATCCACCTGGAGACATAATATTGTGTGAAATATATCAGACACACAAGCCTGAATATCTCGTGGTTTCTCTTATATGAGAAACCCAAAATATAAATAAAAAGCAAATTGAAAGAGAATAGGAAATAGGGAGATGGATCTTTTAAAAAAAGGGAAAGGGACCATGAGTTGGAAGGTGAGGGGAAGGAGAGGAAGGTAAGAGGCTGAAAAAAGAACTAAGATGTGTCATGTACATGTACCAACTCCCCACAAGGAATGTAATCATTATGCCAAAAATGTACCCAAAAAGTTAAAAATAAAAAAGAATTTATAGCTATCTAATAGTAGAAAAATTTCAAGTTAGGTCATATATAATTTCCCCATGATAGAAATAATAAACTTGGCAAGTGCTAATCATGAAAGTTGCCTTTTATTCAGCGTGCGCACACACGCACACGCGCACACACACACACACACACACACACACACGCATATGTGTATTATTTTTTATTTCAGAGAGTTATATAAGGCTAGCCATTCATAAGATGAAACTCCTTCTTCAACAGATAAACCATAAAAACTGAAATAGAAATGAAGAGACTGCCTAGTATCTGATATCATTCCTTCCCTTCCCCTGAAGATATTCCTTTTTTTTTTTTTTTTTTTTTTTTTAATTTTTTGTGGCACTGAGGATTAAACCCAGGGCCTTGGGCATGCTAGGCAAGTACTCTACTAGTAAGTTGTACCCCTGGCTTGCTTGCTTGCTTGCTTGCTTGCTTGCTTGCTTTATTTATTTATTTATTGATTGATTGATTGATTGATTGGTACCAGGGATTGAACTCGGGTCCTTGTGCATGCAAGGGAGGTGCAGAACCACTGAGCTAAATCCGCAGCCCTGTTTTTGTTTTTTTTTACTTTGATACAGTCAGTTGCTGACTTGCTCATGCTGCGTTCAAATTTGTGATCCTCCTGCCTCAGCCTCCCAAGTAGCTGGTATTTCAGGTGTGAATCATTGCACTTGGCTTAATGGTATTCTTGTTGCCCAGATATGGAGTTTTGTGTGTTCTACCTGGTGTTTTCAACATATATGCACCTTGAAATCACCCACTCGTAGACTATAATCTCCAACAAATAAATACTGATAGTAGTTAATATTTTTTAAACATTTGCAGTTTGCTTGCCACTGTACTAATAAGCACTCTATGTGCATAATTTCATTTAATTTTTAAAATAACAGTAGAACACAAATACTATTATTGATGCCATTTTCCCAGATGAAACACTGATTAGAAAGATTAAGTAATTTCCCAAAGTAATTCAGAGTTAAGATTTGAATTTAAATCTTCCTCCTGTTTTATATTCTCTGTCCTATTTGCAGTATATGTCCAGATAGGACTATCCTCATATTTAAATTTATAATTATACCTCTATCCCCCTTGAACAATAAAGGATGGTCCTATAATTATCACTCTAGTGTCTTGAAGATGAGATCTACTGTGTTTTCCAGGCTGTTTTGGGTTGAACTGAGTCAGCCACATATACCATGATCTATAGCCATCTTTAGAATAATCCTAACAGCTCTAGAACTGTAAGGCTACAAAAGATTTTAATATCAGGGCACTTATTCCAGGGGACCATGTGTAACTTCACTAGGTCTATAACATTTCCTCAGTCCTTTTGGTTATAATTCACATGTATCAAGAGGCCAAATGGGATTCCATATGCTAGGATTTATAATGACTAATTGTTAAGGAGACCTATTAATATCACACATATCTCACCTTCTTTTCTTTTTTATAGGTGAAAATTTGTGATATGCAGATGCGTGGCACTCCCCGGGATTTACTTCCAGGAGATCCCATTTGTAGTCCAGTAGCAGCAGTGCTAGCTGAGGCCACTACTCAGCTTATCCGTATTCTTCACCGAGCAGACCGTTGGACCTACAGCATTAACAAAAAAATGATGGAAAGGCTACATAAAATTAAGATATGTGTTAAAGAGTCAGGTCAGAAACTAAAGAAAAGTCGCTCGGTTCAGAGCCGAGAAGAAAATGAAATGAGAGAGGAGAGGGAGAACAAAGAGGAAGAGAAAGGTAAACATAACAGGCATGGCCTTGCTGACCTCTCAGAGCCACAGCTGAGGACTCTTTGCATAGAGGTGTGGCCCGTGCTGGCAGTGATAGGAGGAGTGGATGCTGGTCTTAGAGTCGGAGGTCGGTGTGTTCACAAGCAAACTGGGCGTCATGCCACGCTGCTGGGAGTGGTCAAAGAGGGCAGCACATCTGCCAAAGTCCAATGGGACGAAGCAGAAATTACCATCAGGTATGATCTGTTGAGTTACACTTTTAGCAAATCAGTGTTTAATGGTGAAATTTGCCCTTGCCCTTGGACAGTAATTAATGTTATCTTAGGTGAGCTGCCAGTTAACTTCTCAAATTTAATTTTTTTTTTCTGTACTGGATATTGGTACTGCCATTTCAGAAAATAACTTTGTCCAGACCTGTGTCCCTTGAAATACTGGTTGTTTGTAAAACATGTAGTTTTCTGTTTTATTTTGTCTGGGAAGAAATGGTAAGCTCGCTAGTTTAGATTTCACTCCTTCATTTTGTTTTTCATTTGGCTTTCTGCTTTTTGTTTTATTTGCAAAGTTGCTGGGGATTAAGCCAAGGGCCTTATGCATGCAAAGCCACACTCAGCCACTGAGCCACACCCCCAGGCTAGTTTCCGGCTTTTTAAAAAACCATTTCCATTATACAGTGGGATAGTAAAAAGACCGCCAGCCAATCTGTTGAGCTAGTTTCCGGCTTTTTAAAAAACCATTTCCATTATACAGTGGGATAGTAAAAAGACCGCCAGCCAATCTGTTGATTACAGTTTGTATTGGAAGGGCTCTAAATATAGGATGGGAACATTTGAGTGACTAAATTTAGGTTTTGGATGAACTCCTTTTTTCCCTCTACTTTTTTTTTTAAATACAGTACATATTTCAATTCTCTTCATGCATAGCATTTTGACTAGATATGAAAATTACATTTACCTGACACAAGCTGGGTACTTTAGCATTCTGATGTGTTTACATTCAGATAGGATTTGAAATAGAAATTTAAAAAGAAAAATGTTGGTTATCTCTGTTCATGAGGAAACTTGTTTATCTAGTGACTGTTTAATCATAGCCTTTGAAGGTATGGATTTATCTATGATATTATATAATTACTTATTATATTACCCAATGTGATTCCTATAAAATCTTGTGTTAATAGGTCCTAAGAACATTGTCTCCAGTAGTGGTTCTTGGTGTTTTATGGCAACGGTACTGTTTTAGAATCCAGTGAATGCCATGGAGTTCTTTAGTTGAAAAATATACATAACATTTTTACACAATTTCAAGGGTTAATGCACTCTACTTTCACTCGTTTCACTAAGCTAAAAGGCCAATATCAATTTTATAGTGGTTGGAGAGTGTCTTACCTTCTATTCTTTCCCTGTTTCAGAAAGGATTTATGATACTTTGTTAATATGCATACAATCTAGTAAAATAAGTAAATTAATAAATAAACTGAAAACAAGTAAGGAAAGTGATACAAAGGTGAAATAAGATCAGAAAGATAAATGAAACCAAGATTTAGGTTAGTACAACAAAACTTGTGTATTTCCTGACTTTTATATTTTGTATAATTAGAGCATTTTTAAAGTATAAGAATTTTGAAATATATAATCATATTTTGCATAAAGTATAATAAACATAAATTGAAGACTAATGTAAAAATTTTTAATGAAAATCGCCTATGAAATTATAAAGAGCCATTAGCCACACAACAAAATAGATTTATTATACAAACTTTCCAAATCACTTACATCAAACTATATCTGGTCTACCTCTTATTTTGTAAGTAAAATTGCACATCCAAATTCATTTGTTAGGAGTATCGATGGCTGCTTTTGTACTGTGATGTCAGGTTTGAGTGGTGGCAAGAGATCTTTGTCCTGCAAAATCTGAAATACTGACTCTGACCCTTTGTGGAAAGTTTGCTGACTGTTGCTTACCTGAAATGATGATGACTATTCTCACTCAAAAGCACATTCACACCTCATTGCTTTTGAATATAGCATCACATGTCCCCATTTTCTCAAAATAATCTTATTTTTTCCTCTGTAATGACATTTTGAGTTTATGTAAATTATTCTCTGTATTGTATGCACAATGCATCTTGTTTGTTTACATTATTTTCTGGACCTTCCTCTTGTTCTTCCCTCACTTGCTTTTTCCTGTGTCATTCTGATCTTTATTAAAGCTTCCCAACTTTTTGGTCGCCTAGTGATACTCCGTTGTATAATCTGGAACCCTGTGAACCACTGCCGTTTGATGTGGCGCGATTCCGAGGCCTGACAGCTTCTGTGCTGCTGGACCTGACGTATCTGACAGGCATTCATGAAGACATGGGGAAACAGAGTGCCAAGCGCCATGAAAAGAAACACCGACACGAGTCTGAGGAAAAGGGGGACAGTGAGCAGAAGCCAGAGAATGAATCTGCCCTAGATGTACGAACAGGCTTGACAGCTGATGATGTCAAAGGTCAGGGGGCCACAAGCTCCAAATCAGAAAACGAAATAGCTTCATTTTCCTTAGAGCCAACACTGCCAGGTGTGGAATCCCAGCATCAAATCACAGAAGGAAAAAGAAAAAATCATGAACACATGTCCAAAAATCATGACATAGCCCAGTCAGAAATCAGAGCAGTCCAGCTGTCCTATCTCTACCTTGGTGCTATGAAATCACTTAGTGCTCTTCTTGGCTGTAGTAAATATGCTGAACTATTGCTGATACCAAAAGTTCTGGCTGAAAATGGCCACAACTCGGACTGTGCAAGCTCTCCAGTTGTTCATGAAGACGTGGAGATGCGTGCAGCCCTGCAGTTTCTGATGCGACACATGGTGAAGCGAGCAGTCATGCGGTCGCCTATAAAGAGAGCTTTGGGATTGGCTGATCTGGAACGGGCTCAAGCTATGATTTATAAATTAGTGGTCCATGGCCTTTTGGAAGACCAGTGTGGGGGCAAAATTAAGCAAGGTATGTTATCTAATTTTTTTTGCTTTTGTGCTTTTGAAATTATTTGTACTCAAAACTGTAAAATCTGTGATTTATACAGATATTTTTATAAAGTATTTTTGACCAAAGGAATTTTCACATTATTTTTTTCTTTGTAAGATAGAGTTCTTTTGCTACTTTTATATTAATAATCATCTACCTGTAATAATGTAAGTGTTAAAACTTGATAATTATTACTAAATTTTATAAAAATGAAGTTTAAGTTATTCCTCCTGTCTTAGTTACTTTTCTCATTGCTGAGACAAAATACATAACACACAGAGTTAAAGGAGGAAAGGTTTATTTGGCTCACTGTAGAGGTTTCAGTCCATAGCCAGCTGGCTCCACGGCAGGGGAGGGGCATCACAGAGGAGAAACAGTCCATGGCAGGCAGCAAGTAGCAAAAGCAAACAAGTGACAAGCCACAGCCACAGCTAATTCTGTCTCTTATTATCCAGGCTGCCTGCCCTTAGGTAGCACTATACCCTTCCTCCTAGCATTGTACCATAAATCAGTCCCAGCATCATGTTCTTGATTGCAGCAGCACAATTCCTTGATCCTTTCACCCCCACGTATAGCTGCATGAGGCTTTGCTTTGGAGGACGTTGAGACACAAACGGTAACACCACAAAAGGCACTCAAGTATTTTTTTTCTGATTCAAAATATAGTCTAATCACTTCTAAGAGACATTTTAAAGGCTACTACTTTCATAGACTATACATTATATATAAAAATAACCCACTTTGTATTATCTTTTCACCTTTGGCAAGTATAAATTGTGAAATAAAAACTGACATTCATTTAGGAAATGTTTATAGAATGCCTACTCTGTGCCAGGTGCTTTTCTAGGTTTTAGAGAAGTAGCAGTGAATTAAGCAAAGTTCCTTGCCTTTGTGAAGCTTATACTGTACTTATTCTTCCTCTCCTCCTCTTCTGATTCCATTTCCTTTCCCTTGCCCTCACCCCTCCTTACTCCTAACTTACAGTGTTCTCAAAGGTGGAGGTAAAAGATAAAACAAAAAAGTCGGTTATTTTTAGACGTCATGTACTGCATTCTATGAAAGTAGCGCACTCTTGGATCCGCCGCCTGTCTCGCAAGTGCAAGGACCCGAGTTCAATCCCCGGTACCAAAAAAAAAAAAAAAAAAGTAGCGCACTCTTCATTTTCCTCTTATTGCTCTCCTTCCTGCCTTAGCTTAGATAGTAAATAGGTGGAGAGAGGTACATGGTACATATACAAAGTTGCGTTAAGATTGGGTTATGCAAGTATATGGCCATTTAGCAAGCCCAGTAGAATTAGCTGTCTTTATAGCGGCTCCTATTTTCTGTTTATTTGTAGGTTTCCTTATTAGATAGACGGACAGGTAGATGAATAGAGTTTCTGCCCAGGTTTTTATTTGTCCTACATTTTCATGCCTTTATATTTTCCCATTTATAGACTGAAGATAAGCATCAAAGTGCTAAGGAAACACATTTAATGACTAGATAGCTTTGGAAAACCTTTTGTCATATCTTCAATCTAAAGTGAGACCTTCTTTTACATTAAAAAAATGTCTTCTCTTAACAGAAATGCGTAGTTTCTAGGTCCCGTTACAGTACTTTGTGTAGAATATGGAATAGTACAGTAGTGAATACAAAGATATCTGTAAGAACTTTTTTTTTGGAAATCAGAAATTATATTTAGAAACTTTTAAAAGTAAAAGTTCTTACTGTTACTTTTGCTACTTCCTTGTCCTTTATCTTGGTTTATAGAAGTTGATCAACAAGCCGAAGAAAATGATCAAGCCCAGCAGGCTCAGACTCCAGTTACCACTAGCCCGTCAGCTTCAAGCACAACTTCCTTTATGAGCAGCTCCCTGGAGGACACCACAACTGCCACCACTCCAGTCACCGACACAGAAACCGTGCCTGCATCTGAGTCCCCAGGAGTGATGCCACTCAGTCTTCTCAGGTAGCGACGCTGACCTTTAACATGTGCCACGCCAGTGCCCACAGTTCTGAAGCATGATTGTTCTCCTATAGTAGCATGCCAGAGTGATGCCCAATGCTCTAGAACTAGATGAAGTCTGAGATCAGGAAGTTTAATAACTTGCTACAACCTCACAGCCAGTTGTTGGTGGCCCCGGGGCCAGTTAGCCAGGTCACTGATGAGCAAGTGCCCCACAGCTCTCTCCTTATGGTGTTTTTTGATGTGTGTGTGGTTTTTTGGGGGCTAATTTTTTGAATTTTTTCAAAAAATAAATATTTGTATTTTAGACATTAGGGTCTCAGGAATAAACTCACCTCTATGAGCATTTTTTCCTTTTAAGCATAGTTATACTTTTATTCTGACTATAAAATCAAGTCTACTTTTCAAATGAAAAGACATGTCTTATAATGCTTCTTCAGCTACCCTATTTAGTTGATTTGTAAATTCTAAGTAATGTTTATTTAAATTTCTTTTTGTTTCAATTTACTAGATAAACACAAATAAAAACTTACATGAGAAGACCTTTAGGGAGAGGATGTTATATATTCTCTCTCTCTTTTTTTTTTTTTTGTTTTGTTTTTTAGACAGTGTCTCACTATGTAGTTGAGACTGACCTGGAACTCACTATGTAGCCCAGGCTGGTCTTGAACTCACAACGATCCTCCTGCCTCAGCCTCCTGAGTGCTGGGATTACAGGTCTGTGCCACTGTGCCTGGCAACATTCTAATGTTTTTTTAATTTATCTGGCGATTACAGAATTCAGGGGATCCATAGAAGATCTTTGACTCCTTGTTATCTTTCAAGCTCTGAATAGAGTAGGCATTGAATTCAGCAGTAGAATCATTGCCCCTTACTCCCAGAGACATTCACAAAGCCTTTGAACTCTTTTCTTTTTTCTCCTTGTCTCTCTCCTTCCCTCCCTCTCTTCCTACCGTTACAGTGCTAGAACTCAGGGCCTAATGCATGGTAGACAAGCTCTACCAGAGCTATACCTCCTCCTTTCCTCTAACCATTTTTTCTCTACTATTGGCTGGGTCTTAATTAGAGCTGCAGCTTCCTCCATCTGGCTGAACATTATTTGACAGGAGAAAAATAAGGGAAATACTGTTTTCTGTATATGTGTTATTATATCAGTTATTTGATGGGTAAGCAGGGCTTTTCTGATGCTGAGAAAGCACCTGGTTCTTTTAGTTAAGAGCCATCAGAGTGGATCTTTTTGGACTCTATTCTCTAGCTAGGGTCCACATCCTCAGCTTGCGAGGGGTTGCCTCTCCTGTACCTTTCCACCTCTATAGAGCTGACATATTCACATTTTTTTTTATTGTGTTGGGTGACTAGACAGTTTTCTTTTCTATCCATAACTTGCCTATATTGCATAGCTTTGAATTTAGATGAATAATTTCATAGGTATCTGGTGAATTTATATTTAAAGTAACTGCAAGGCATCTGTCTTTAAAATTCTCTAGTTTCTTACTGCTGTATGCATACTAAAATACCCATAGCACTTTGGTAGGATACCAGAAGAAAGTTACATAAAGTAAAGGATTTACCATTTTGATGAGCAAAGGATAACAAGCAAAAGATTTTATTATTTTATAGTAAAAGAACCCTATGAGATAATGATTTTTAAAACTGAGTTGTATTTCTTAACATCCTTCATTAAATTATAGCTAATCTGTATAATTTTCCTGGTTGCATATTTTTCTATAAGAAGATTGTGATATATAAATTGTTTCTTACTTGGACTTGTGTGCTAACCATTGTTGTTTCCTTAAAGGCAAATGTTCTCTAGTTACCCAACCACCACTGTACTTCCCACACGTCGGGCACAGACTCCTCCAATATCATCATTACCAACCTCTCCTTCTGATGAAGTAGGAAGAAGGCAAAGTCTAACTTCTCCTGATTCCCAGTCAGCAAGGCCAGCTAACCGCACAGGTGTGTGAGCTATCATGTATTAAGATATCCAAACCTCTCACATTCCCACTCTGTGGACTTCCTCACGTGAGCATTGTGTTACGTCCTCGCTAGAGTTAGAGCAGTGATTTTAATGAAGGAGGGCTGCACCCATCAAACTGAGTGTCTTTTCCATTCTCAAACTGCATATTGAAGTATTGCTGTTTTGAAGAGAAATCATGTCCTGGGTATCAGTCATATCAGACCTTTCTTCTTTCCTAATACAGGCAATTGATTATGCTAAAATTCTCCTCTGAGCACTGCTTTAGCTGCAATTCACACATTTTTGAAATGCCTCATTTTCGTTTTCATTTAGTTTGAAGATAATTTACCTTGGTACTTTGTTTGACCTCTGGGTTATTTAGAAGTTTTACTTACTTTTCAGTTATTTAGGGCTGTTCTAGTCATCTTTTTGTTACTGATTCTATTTTTATTGTCATCAATGAATGTATCTTCTCTTTTTTTCTTTTTGCCGTCCTAGAGACCTAACCCAGAGCCTTATGCATGCTAGGCAAACACTGCCACTGAGCTATATCTGTGGCCCAAAGAATATATCTTACACAATTTGAGTTATTTTAAACTTATTGAGGCTTGTCTTATAGCCTACAGTATAGTCTGTTTCAGTTAAAAATGTAGATTTGGAAAAAGTGTGTTGTTTTATTGTGGAGTGAGCTATTGTTTCTTAGGTCAGGTTGGTTGGTAGTATTGACCAACTCTATTCTTACTCATTTTTTGTGCATTCCATCAATTATTGAAATAATCTGATGTAATTATGGATTTGTTTGTTTCCCCTTTCATTTGTTAGTTTTTATTTCACGTTATATATATGTATATATAGGTATATACATATATATACACATATATACCTATATATACATACATACATATATGTGTGTGTGTGTGTGTGTGTATGTATGTGTGTGTGTATCAAAAAAATCCTGCTAAAAATTGAGAACTTAAACTATAACACCATTTTACAATTAGATTTGCTTTATTAATCCCCGGCCCTATTTCATATATTTTAAAGTTGTCTTTAGGTTTATAAATATTTAGGATTTGTATATCTTTTCATGAATTGATTTTATTATTTGAAATAACTGTTTATCCCTGGTGATATTCTTTGCCTCAAAATCTGCTTTCTGTGCTATCAATATATCCACTACCGACTTTTTAAATTAGTATTAGAAATAGCATATTATTTCTGTCATGTTTTTGCTTTACCTCATTTGTGTCTTTGATAGTGAGTATCTTGTACGCAGCTAACATCAGTCTTGCCTTTTTAGTTTGGTGTTCTCTGCCTTTTAATTGAGTTGTTTAGACCATTTGTATTTGGTACTATCTTTGGTTGGTTTAAAATCTGCCATCTGTCTATCTTATCCTATTCTCTTTTTCTTTCTTTTTTACCTTCTTTTGGTTAAGTGAAATTTTTTATTTCACTTTATTTCCTTCATTGACTTATTAGCTATAGTTTATATTGTATTTTTAGAGACTACTTTCATGTTTATAGTATACATCCTTAATTATCACATGTCCAAGTGATATTTTACCACTTCATATATGGTAACAAGAATCTTAAAACAGAAAGCTTCTTTTTCCCCCATTTCAGCATTCATAAAAGTATGACTATAGTATATGATAAATTTTGAGTTTTTTTTGTGTGTGTGACAGGTTCTCACTATGTAGTTGAGCCTGATCTGGAACTCATTGTGTAGCCCAGGCTGGTCTCAAACTCACAGTGATCCTCCTACCTCAGCCTCCCAAGTGCTGGGATTATAGGTGTGCGACACCAGGCCCGGCTAAATGTTTAAATTTTTAAAAAATTATTACAGTAAAGGGGCACATTGTTTGGGTTCACCCTACCTGCACTGTAGCTGGAGGTTCTCTCTAGGCCTTAAGCTGAGACGGGTATACTGCTCACTTCATGTGTTTTCCTGCTCTCAGAGATCAATGTCTTATACTTTCTGTTGTTCAGTATCTCAAGTTTATTGTTTGATAATTTTTTGTTTAAGGCAGGAGGGTAAATTTAGTCTCTAGTTTTTCATTACGACCAGAAGCATAAGTCCATCAGTCATATTAAAACCATTACCATTATAGCAGTAGTACTGTTTTTATCCTTTTTTTTTTTGGTACCAGGGATCGAACTTGGGTCCTTGCACTTGCGAGGCAGGTGGCAAAAACACTGAGCTAAATCCCCGGCCCAGTAGTACTGTTTTTAAAGCAAAGACAAGAGCCCTCTCTTCCTCCTTCCTTCCTTGCTTCTCTTTCCCTTTCTTCCTTCACTAGTAGGTGGGCCTAAGCTAGGTAAGCATTTATGCCAGAATAGTATGAGGAGGATCCCATGTTGGTGGGAGGAGCCTGGCTGGGAGTATTGGATTCTGAATGGGATGAGAAAATGTCCATGTGACAGAGCCAAGCTGGGTGAGGAGGGTTTCCACTGGCACTGTCCAGTGACAAGGCCTAACTACAATGATGGTGCATTTGCAAAAAGCATATCTACAGCCTAAAGACTGGTCTTTACTAAGAAGAGCTCACATCACTTTGGAGAAATGGCTGATTTCAGAGCTGAGCATGAGATTAGCTGGCAAAACTTGTGCCCAAAACTAATAAAACTATTAAATAAAACTAATAAAAGTGCTCAGTCATATGCTTAAAAAGTTTAGAAACTAGATTGAGCAGGCTTGACTGGCCAACTCTAGGAGATTTGAGACATCAAAATAAATAATCATAATAGTAACAGATAATAACCCATGACAGCAATATAGAAGTCTATATTTCTTTTCTCCTAGGGGAAAGAAGCCTTGCCTTAGAGTGCAGTACCAACAGATGAATCTAAAGTAATGTTTGAATTAGAAAATTATTATTTGTAGCCATCATGATAGTAATTCATTCAGTAATTAAATATAAGTGAGTGTAAATAAGTGAAACTTTGATGAGGAATAGACTCATATGTTCTTATAGCACCTCCACACAAATACCTCTTAGTGAACTGGGCGTAGGGGCAGATGCTTGTAATCCCAGCACTCGGGAGGCTGAGGCAGGGGGATTGCTGGGAGTGGGAGTTCAATGCTAGGTTGGGCTACATAGTGAGTTCTAGGCCAGCCTAAACTACATAACCAGACCCTGTCTCAGAAAACCTAACCAAAGGAAACCGAAACAAAATAAAGCCCTCTGAGTTACAAAGGGGGAAAGAAAAATAGTGACCTTACTATTTAGAAACTTGGCAGCTATCACCTAACTGGAGTAAGCAAAGTTAACATCACCTGTATTGAGACATTGTTTATCATCTAAGAGAATGCAGCATGACTTTCATGGTATCCCTTCCAAAAAGTGCACCGTGAATCATGAGGGAACATCAGACTAACCCATGCTGAGAGAAAATACACAAAAACTGGACCGTCATCTTCAAATTATCAAAATGATTGAAGGAGACTGGAGAGATTTGCCAACTGAAATGAAAGGATGATCCTGGATTGGATCCTTTGCTCTAAAGAACATTATTGGGACATTTGGTGAAACTACAGCAGGATTTAGATGAGATGGTGAACTTGATTTCTTAGGTCTCTTGGCAGTGTTACAGTTATGCACGAGAATGTCCTTATTTGTTGGCATTACTTATGCATATATTCAGGGGAGATGGAGCGTCAAGTCTGCTACTTACTTTGTGGTGTTCAGGAGAATTCTTTGTATTATTATTATTGTGAATTTCTGTAAGTTTGGAATTTTTTCAAGTGGAAAATTATTCAAAATAAAAAGTTTTAAAGAATTTTTCATCAGGTTTATTTTGTGTTACCAGCAGCTTTTTCTTTGTGAAAACCCTTATACTGTATTGATATGTTTAATTAAACATTTAGCATATTTTTGTACAGTAAGATTTTATTAAGTTTTTATTAAAATTGAAGACTTACAAAGCTTACTATGAGAACACAGTTTCACTCATGGTCTACAGAGATATTTAGACCCTTTCTTGTCTTCATTTTGCCTCAGCCCTATCAGACCCAAGCAGCAGACTTTCAACTTCTCCTCCTCCTCCAGCAATCGCAGTTCCCTTGCTGGAAATGGGATTCTCTCTCCGGCAGATTGCTAAAGCCATGGAAGCCACAGGTAGGATAAGTTTTTATATGACAGTATCTCTAGTATAGGAAAACCTGTCTTTGGAAAGGCAGCATATTTTTAAGAGATTATAAACCTTGGTAAGATTTTAAACACCAGATGAGTTACAAGGGCATCAGAGGAAGTGCTTTGAAACTGATAGCATGAGTAATTTATTTTATCCAAATTTAGTATCAGACTTTTTTCCCTGTCAGGTGCTCGAGGAGAAGCAGATGCCCAGAATATCACTGTCCTGGCCATGTGGATGATAGAGCACCCCGGGCATGAGGATGAGGAAGACCCCCAGCCAGGCAGCACAGCAGACACCAGGCATGGCGCAGCAGTTCTGGGCAGTGGTGGGAAGTCTAATGATCCCTGTTACTTGCAGTCCCCAGGGGACATACCATCCGCTGATGCTGCAGAGATGGAGGAAGGCTTCACCGAAAGGTGAGATTCCAGTTTATTTCTGTCCCGTGTGTTAAAGGTGCCTCTAAAACCCCATTTATTTCCTTTCATAAATGCTTTAGTAGTATATGAAATTGATAACTATAGGTATGTGAAAAGATGTGCATTTTAGTGACAAGCTTACGTTTCTGTGAAGAGTAAAAACAACACGACAAGTTTTGATTTGAATGGATGTTTCCATGGAGAGAAAAAAATTCATAAGTTTTACGTAAAATTTAGCAGAAAAAAGAAAATTTAAAGCTAAAGCAAGTTTTGCTGTCTGCCTCGCAAGCACAAGGACCTGAGCTCGATCCCCGGTACCAAAAAAACAAAACAAAACAAAACAAAAACAAAAAAAACCCACAAATTTATCTTGAAGTAAAATAAATATAAAACAAATTTATCTCGTAGGTGATATATAACAGAATGTTCATATTAATAGATATTGATTTAATTAATATATTTGATAGAAATTGACTTTTCTGTCTTGTAATTTAGATTTTTATTGTTTCTATAGTTTTTAATATCTGGTATATCTTTTTTTTCCAAATAATAACTCGATAATGCCTACTCTAAAATGAGATATAAGAAAATATACAAAATTTCTCCTTAAAATCTTTTCTCCTTCAGCACTTCCTATGACTTTTGATTTTCCTCATTTTTCTTTTTAACCATGGAGTCATATGGTTAGCAGGGATTGTATCTCATGTAACATGCAGGCTTTTTTCCAAGCTCAGTGAATATTTTGTTCATGTTGAAATGTCTGATTTTGCTAGGGAAGGAACCCCAATCATTTTAATTTTTGTATGTCTAATCATTTAGGATTTGGTATCTGTCTGTCTGCCTGTGTGTCTCTGTCCATCTCCTCCCCAGTGCTGGGAATCAAACCTGGGGCCTTGCACATGGTAGGCAAGTATTCTACTACTGAGCCATATTCCCAGCCTTGATGCCATTCGAATTTGAATGTAAACTGAGGATCATATCATTGTTAGAATCCAAAATCAGGTACAATTCTTGTCGAGGGCACATCTTGAACTCATGAGCTTTGCAAGGGAAAAAAGATATGTTTCAGAGTTTTATAATAATTTGGTGATATACCTCAGCGATAGAAGTTCTTTAAGAAAGAAAAAGCTTTCTCAAAAATGTATTTTCTTCTCAGTGACACAGTGATATTTTAGAGAAAGAAAGTAGTACCACAAGCAAACTTGTACCTTTGCTTTCTTTTTACTTTCTTTTTTTTTGGTGCTGGGGACCAAACTCGGGACCTTGTACTTGCAAGGCAGACAGCAGCACCGCTGAGCTAAATCCCTGCCCTCTTTACTTTCTTTTTAATCAATCATAGCTTTTAAAACTTTGTGTTGCTTTCAAACCTGTAGCCCTGATAATCTGGATCATACAGAGAATGCAGCTTCTGGAAGTGGACCACCAACTAGAGGTCGTTCAGCGGTGACAAGAAGACACAAGTTTGATTTAGCAGCTCGCACATTACTGGCAAGAGCAGGTAATTCTATGTTTTGTGTTCTTCTCTTGTTGAAAAACTTTATTTTAAAATTAATATAAAAGCAACATTAAAGATGTAAACTAATGATAGTAGTCCCCACATTAATAGAAAAAATTGTTTGTATATGATTTTCTACACATATACATAATTTTACTTAATTGAAGTTGCAAAATATATTCATAGATTTATTTTTAAGTTTCCTGTGGATGCAGATGGCGGTATTGGTCACTTGTAGATTTTGAGAATTTTAAAAAATGCTCTCTGTGCCCTGAATCTTTATAATTTAAGAAGTGATGGTGGTGAGAAGGAACTGGAAAGGACACTGTGCCAAAAAATGAGGGATTGGCTTTTTTAATGTACGCTATTGACCTTAAAGCCTCACCACTAGGCAAGGCCCTTGAAAAGCAAAAGTGAATACCCTTAGTGCATTAGTAAATTCTTCTAGAATTATATTTTGGGTGTGTAATGTGTGACTTATAGATAATATATTTTCCAAACTCCAAACTAGGATATGTGATTTGTCAAAACCAAATTTGATCATTGAAACATGAGAACATAAGCAATAATTAAACTATTTATGGGAACTGTGAGAGAGAAATTGAGACTACCCTAGAAAATAAAGAGTGCATATTTACCATAACATGAAAGGGGACTGATTTTAAAAAAAAAAACCTGAAAGAATAATAATGTCTTACACTTTGTTTTTCTCTGACAAGAACATAAAAGAGCTAGCATGGAATGTCTTAAACTTAGCAGTAGCCCAGTGAGGTATGAATGCCATTATTATCCCTATTTTACAGGATAGGAAACACAGATGATAAGTATAATTGAAGGTTGTGGTCTGGGATGCAGTAAGCCAGCTGAGATAGGTTCTCACCTACACGTATGGCAGTTAAGAACTGGAGAAATATTCAGAGTTATTCATGCAAATAAAATGCCTTTTTTGTTTTGTTCTGAGCGGGATTATACCGCTCTGTGCAGGCTCACAGGAATCAAAGTCGGAGAGAAGGAATATCTTTGCAGCAAGACCCAGGGGCGTTGTATGACTTTAATTTAGATGAGGAATTGGAAATTGATCTTGATGATGAAGCAATGGAAGCTATGTTTGGACAAGACCTGACCAGTGACAATGATATTCTGGGAATGTGGATCCCAGAGGTACTGGATTGGCCTACCTGGGTGTGTGTGACTGCAGCGGGGGCTGCTCTGACTTATTTTCCTGCCCTCCTGTTCATAACAGCATAACAATAGTAGCCTTGTATAGAGTTGAAATCTCTAAAAAACCTTAGAGATTTTGGGGATTTAATGTAGAGATTGCTTTTGTACTTGAGACTTGGAGATTTAACTTGGTGCCTACAAACTAATGAGAAAAAGTCTTTCTTGTTGCTATATCCACATGATTTTATTGCTTCTCTCCCTAGCCATGTTGTGATCATTTTAGTTATGATGTCAAAGATAGCTTACAAAGTAGATGTCAGGCCCCAGTAGATGTTGCTGAATTAGGTACCATGGCTGCTGTGCTTACGTTGCTGTCTGAATGCGTGCTCTTCTCCTTCGTAGGTTCCATGTAATCACTGTAATGCCTCATTCTGGGAAGCAGTGCTTACCTAGATCTTGTAAATCCCTCCCTTCAGGGACAGGGTACATGAGGGTTTGTAGATATACATTGTTTAGCATTATGTTCTTATGTGTGTGTGTGTGACAGGGTCTCACTATGAAGTTCAGACTGCCCTGGAACTCACTATGTATCCCAGGCTGGTCTTGAATTTGCAGCAGTCCTCCTGCCTCAGCCTCCCGAGTGCTGGGATTACAGGCATATGTGCCACCACACCTGGCCAGCATTACATTTTTATAACAGTGACACTAAAAATCTCACAGATACAAGTCACAGGAAAGGTATTCTACCATGTTAATAAATGAATCCTAATGACTTTCCTCAGAAATTCAGAAAATAGGCTTACATTTTACATCCAGATAAAAGGTAGTTATTTTCACTGAAGAGCTTTTCAAAAAATCATTGTGAAATAAAACATACTATCATTTTCTTAATTCTTGGTTGCTTAGATTGTAACATGAGAGTATAGCAGACAACACCTTGAGATAATAACATTAATGAGTGTGTCATAAATATTTAAGATTTATAAACAAAGGTAATTTAATATCATAAATCTACTTACCTCTTAATTTTAGTTAAGTTGACTGCAATAATTTGGTGTGAAATCATTTTGTGCAGCATGTTTGTGAGTCTGAAGACAGGGAAGAAGTGGTGGTGTGTGAATTATGTGAATGCAGTGTTATCAGCTTCAATCAGCACATGAAGAGAAACCACCCAGGCTGCGGGCGCAGTGCAAACCGCCAAGGCTATCGAAGCAATGGCTCCTATGTGGATGGCTGGTTCGGTGGTGAATGTGGGAGCGGAAATCCATACTACCTACTGTGTGGCAGCTGCAGGGAGAAGTACTTAGCTCTGAAGACTAAATCGAAGGCAACAAGTTCAGAAAGGTATCTTGACATTTTGTCTCTATCCAGGCCCTTTGAATAATACTTCATATTTAAGACATGGGAACCTTTTCATGTGAAGGATTGTTATTGACCTCCTCTAACGCCCTGTGTTTGCTGAATTGGAGGCCAAAAGCGTGGAGGTTGAGGAATTCATATTCCCCGCAGATCAGGTAGTCTTTCCGGATCTTTGAGAGGCCAGGAGTAATGGCAGGTAGGGGATGCTTCCCTGGAGTTTTACTGAGTTAATCTTTAATTTGCTGACAAGTGGTCAGAACCTTTGCCTTAACCTTCAGGAGGCATAAAATCAGTTTTTTTCACTGATAGTTCCCCCATTTTTCTAGCAGACTTAATTTCTTAGTGAAAAATAGACTATTCTATTTAAAGGAGAGTCAATGAAAATATTATCTCTGTCTATCCTTATTTCTAGTGAGTAGGTTTTTTGCCCTTATTATCAACTGTGAAATCTTTAAGGCTTTCTGGAACAATGTTTGATTACAAGAGTTACTATTGGTGATCAGAAATGTCCCTAAATTGTCTAGTACAACAGTTATTGATTTATAAGTATGTGTGTACACACATTAGCCCATAACATACATTTTTTAAGTTTGTGCTGCTTTATTAATGACCTCTTAAAATATTCTAATGACTTAATTTGCATTTTGGGTACTAACTGTTTCATATAAAAATACAAATGTTCTTCATATTTGGTGCAGGTACAAGGGACAAGCTCCAGATCTAATTGGCAAGCAGGACAGTGTATATGAAGGTAGTTGTTTGTTTTGAGAGCTTCTTTATTTTACATGTATTTTTATATATACTCTGTTCTTAACAAATGTTACTAAAATTTACCATTGTGTGTGTTTATATTTATGTGTATATTAACTTGAATTTTACCAAGAAAAGAAAATTCAAGGTAGTCTGAGACGATAGTCCTAGTTTCAAACTCAAAGGAAAAAGGATCTAAATTCACATCCAACCTTTGTCATAGAGTTTTGATTTCTGTTTGGCACGTATATTTTTTTAAATTAGGAGAAGGATGTATATTTTGAATTGCCATCCAAATTGTAGAAAGTGAAAAGTAAAAAGTTGATACGAGTATCGGTTTTTCTGGAGCACTTATTTACTTGGAATGTCGCCTTCCCTGATGATCATGGACAGTGTGAAGAATTTTTTATTGGCCCCATGATAATGTTTTTTATGACTTGAATCCCCCATGACCAACTGTATCACTTACTGTTACTTCAGTGGATCTGACTACACATACTTCATTTCCCTTAGCCCAGTCTACACCTCATGGGTACAATTTGGCCAGATTACCAGGAGATGGTGCCATAGTTAATTCTGTGGACACTGGATTTTCAATCTGTCTGCATTTTAAATATATGGCATCTCACAATAACCATTGGCATCAGAGGTGTGTTGTATTTATATCCACATACCATACATTTATTTATTTATTTAAATTCCAGAAGATTGGGACATGTTAGATGTTGATGAGGATGAAAAGCTAACAGGTGAAGAAGAATTTGAATTGCTTGCTGGACCACTTGGTTTAAATGACCGGCGCATTGTACCAGAACCAGTTCAGTTCCCTGACAGTGACCCACTGGGAGCCTCGGTAGCAATGGTCACAGCTACCAACAGTATGGAAGAGACTCTGATGCAAATAGGTAAACTGAAATGCTGATTCATATTGACTGACCTTCTATTTTAATTTATTTCTTAATTAAAAAGTAAGAATAGTGGTTTTTACATCATTTCATTCCATCCATTCCTTTTTTGCCAATTGTTTCAATGTTTAAAGGTATATTGTGATATTAAGTGTTGATTTTTCATCTTTGTGAAATATCAAGTGATAAAAATACAAAACATGAGCAATAACCTTGATAATTGATTCAGAGAATTCTGTAACTGAAGAAAAGTTGTACTGTTTTCTTCAGATGTTTCTGAGAGAGAATGCTACATTTTTGTTATAACAAATACAAACTAAAGAATTGAAGCAGTACTGCTAGCCTTGCCCTTTATGTATACTCAAAGCATATTTTCAAAACTACATCTTTCCTGTATCTGTTAATATCAGAAGTAATACTACTTAATAGAAAGTCTCTCTTCTAATAAGTTATTAACTTAGAGATACCTAAATTAAAACTTAGATATGTATAAGTTTCTGTCAAAGAATTTCCTGCATATCAAACATTTCTTTGCAGTGCTTCCTCACATCCTGGAACTTATGTAAACGAGTAAAAATTTTCAGTGGTTTGGGCACTTTTTTTCTTACCTTGTTGATGACTAAATACAATCCTGCTTTTCAGGTTGCCATGGCTCTGTAGAAAAGAGTTCCTCAGGGAGAATAACGTTAGGTGAGCAGGCAGCGGCCCTTGTAAACCCTCATGATCGGGTGGTAGCTCTAAGGAGAGTGACTGCTGCTGCACAGGTTCTTCTGGCTAGAACCATGGTCATGAGAGCGCTGTCTCTTCTCTCAGTCAGGTGAGTGCTGTTTAGTGTTAGTTGATGCCAACTTAGCTTCTGGTATAGGTGAGACAGCAGTTTGATGTTGTCCCAGAAGGATGCAGTTTTTAAAATTTGAATATCTACTGATGAATGAAAGATGTTGGACATAGTCATCATTGTTACTCCTTCAGTCATTCAGTTAACATTTGGTTCTTTTTACCTAGAAAATAATGCCATTATAATAAGTGAGTAAATTTGATACATTTTAGTTTGTTACCTGAAATTAGAAACTAAAGTGCCATGGCTCCATTTGGTGTCAAATAAAAGTTAAAGTATTTCTGCAGAATTGACCACCTATGTATCTAAGTCTCCTTATAAGTTCTATCATGGTAACTCTTGCTGTCTTCGTGATGTGAAGTCCAGTATGAAAGAGAAAGAGAAACAAGAATACCTAAAAGATATACATTTGAAAATAATTCAAAAGTATTTAATAGCAAATAAGTAAATGTAGAAGGAAAGAAAAACTCAAAAAAAATTTAGATGGGACTGTGTAGTATTGACTCAAAGATAGACAAATAGGATTCCAGAGAACAGAGATTAAGAAACAAACCCACACTTACATAGATACTTGATTTATACTTTGATTTGTAACAGTGGTTTATACTTCAGAGCAATGGTTTAAAAATGATCTTTTTAGTAGTTGGGACAGGGTCAGGTGGTTTATTCACATAGGAAAAAGAAAAGGTCCCAACCTTATAACATGTAATATAAGTGATTCTAAAGTTGCTTTTAGATCTAAATATGAAAGGTAAATCAGTACAAGAATTTACTTTTGGACTGGGGATTTAGCTCAGTGGTTCCACCGCCTGCCTCACAAGCACAAGGTCCCAAGTTCGATCCCTGGTACAAAAAAAAAAAAGAATTTATTCTTGATCTTGGGACAGGCAGAGATTTCTTTAGCAAGTCACAAAAGGTATCTATCCACCATAAAGATTGATAAATTAGATTGCATTAATACAGAACATTTTTGTTAGTAAAAGTCATTAAGAAAGTAAAAAACCAAGCCACAGATAGAAGATATGCATATAATCAGTAGCACATACTGAATTCCTCTAAATCGATAAGAAAATAGACAACTCAAAAGAAAAGTGGCAAAACATATTTTAAGAAATGCTTTACAAGTAGGGTATGGTGATACATGCCTGTAATCCCAGCTGTCAGGAAACTGAAGCAGGAGGATTGCTGGGAATTCAAGACTAGCCTGTGCTATGTAGTGAGTTCAAGGCCAGCCTGAACTACATAGTCTCAAAAAATAAAACAAACAAAAGAGAAGTACTTCAGGGCTAGGTCCAGTGGCCTATAATCCTAGCTACTCTAGAAGCTAAGCAGTAGTATTGTGAGTTCAGGGCCATCCTGGGCTATATAGAGAGATCTTGTCTCAATGACAACATCAACAGCAAACCAAATGAAACTAATTTATGGCTTTAGTTTCTAATTTCAGGTAACCACATTGTGGTTACCATTGAGGGCATAATGACTGAGAAGATCTGGAGGGTGGTTATATGGGTTGTTCAGCTTGTGAAAATTCATACTTTTGAACATTTTTATATGTTATTCTCTGATAATTCAGTTATACCTCAAGTCTTTGTTGGCCAATAATAAAATGAGAAGGGTTTAGGTGGGTAAATTTCCAACTTGCATAATATTTTGAGGTCCATTAGGATGTTTATAACTAGTATCACAGCTCATTTTCTTCTGGTTGTTGAATGGTATATAGAGCTAAATAGTCCCATTAAAAAAAATCTACTGTTGTTTTCTTTATCTATCTAAAATGCTTTCCTTTTTGACAGTGGTTCCAGTTGTAGCCTGGCTGCAGGTCTTGAGTCTCTGGGGCTGACCGATATCCGAACACTGGTTCGATTAATGTGTTTGGCTGCAGCAGGGAGAGCTGGTCTCTCCACAAGCCCTTCTGCTACAACAAGCTCCTCAGAACGTTCACGTGGTCACAGCAAAGCCAACAAGCCCATCTCCTGCCTGGCCTATCTGAGCACAGCAGTGGGATGCCTGGCATCAAACACTCCTAGTGCTGCAAAACTGCTGGTGCAGCTGTGTACGCAGGTACGGTGGCCACATTGCTCTTCCCATTGCATTGTTTTCCCCCGCCGGTGATTCTTGAAGAATCTTTTGAAACAAAGTCTTTTTGTTCCAAAAGTATATGTAAAAATTAAACCTGTTTATTCCAATTGCCTCTTCAGAACTTGATTTCTGCTGCAACAGGTGTAAATCTAACCACGGTCGATGATCCAATTCAACGTAAGTTTCTACCCAGCTTTCTCCGAGGAATTGCTGAAGAAAATAAGCTTGTAACCTCCCCAAACTTTGTTGTAACTCAGGCCCTTGTGGCATTACTAGCAGACAAAGGAGCCAAACTAAGACCTAACTATGATAAATCAGAAGTTGAAAAGAAAGGTAAGTATCATACTATTGAAATACACAGACTTCTAATCAACTTGAGTAATGTTTTAAAAGATGTGTTTTTACATTATTGTTTATAATACATGTCATAGCATGTAAAATTATTACTTTTAGAACATAAAAGAAGTACATGGATACTTCTTGTCTATGAAAATAAGTATTAGAAAATGTACCAAATTAGTATAGTTCTAGATTATGCTTTGAGTCACCATAATAATGACCTTGGTAGGTTTCTATAATAAAATTTCGATACAGGTAGTACTATATTATGTGATATAACTTTGAAAGGACTGCTTAATTACTTTTCTCAGTCTAGTGTGATGGAGCACACCTGTGATCCCAGCACTTGGGAGGCTAGGCCAGAGAATCATGAGTTTGATGCCAGCCTGGGCTACATAGTGAGACTGCTCAAAACACCAAAACCACACCCCTTCCCATAAGAAAAAAATCACTGCTCCTACCCTTCTCTTCCTCAAAATTATTTGGTTAGGCATGGAACTTCTGGATTCATCAGTCCATTTCCTTGGCTGGCCATTAAACTCCCATCCCTTCATGTGTGTGTGTTGGGATCAAACCCAGGGCTACACATGTGCTTACACCTGTATCCCCAAGATCCTCTTTGAGCAACACAAGACAAACTTATTTTTAAAGAAATGTAGTCTCTGCCTAGGCCTTAAAATTTTTTTCTGCTGTATTCTCCACTTACTGAATTTGCAGAACAAAGACTATTTGTTAAATCTTTTGTATTTTGTTTTTTTTTTTTTTTGGTATTGTATTGGGGATTGAACTCAGGGCCTTGTACTTGAGAGACAGGCTGTGGAAACACTGAGCTAAATCCCAAAAAGACTAGTTGCAGTTGTGTAATAAAGTCTTTATTTGCAGTGAACCAGATTTAATTTAGAATTTGATGTGCTTTATATTTTGTATGCCTTATATGTTAAGTGCTTTAATTTTAGTTAAATGATTGCTTGCAAAAAATGCTAATTCTTAGATGCATTAAGCCATTTTTGTTCATCACCACCAACTCTTACCTGAGCATCATTTCACTGTTTTGTTTAAGCAGGTTTAATTGCCCAATTGTATGCCCATCCTTCCTATGATCCTTCTGCTGTAGGCCCACTGGAGCTGGCTAATGCCCTGGCAGCCTGCTGCCTCTCCTCCAGGCTGTCCTCACAGCATAGACAATGGGCTGCTCAACAGCTCGTGCGCACTCTTGCCGCACATGACCGAGACAACCAGACTGCTCCACAGACATTGGCAGACATGGGAGGTGATCTCAGAAAATGCTCCTTTATCAAGTTGGAGGCTCATCAGAACAGAGTATGTATTTTGGGTATAACGTGCACTGATCACCTATGTAAGATAAAATAGTTTCTGACCAGCTAAAAGTTTGGGTCTTGGTGTTTCTTGTCTGTTTCTGATTTTGTCTGTCTGTCTGTCTGTCTGTCTGTCTGTCTCTCTCTCTCTCTCGCTGCCTTCTCTCCCTCTCTTGCACCAAGATTTTCCTGGTAGTTTCCAACTCTACTTTCTCTGTATGCTGAGTTGATTTAATAATAGTATACAGATTTTTAAAAAATAGTATGCTCATAGGGGATGATAAAAATACCCAAAAAACTAGCTGCAGAAAAGATGATGGCCTTTCTATGCAGGAGGTAAAGAAATTGACCTCTTTTATTCTAATCCCTTGGGTCTCTAAAGAGTGACAAGAGTTAAGAAATGAAGGCTGAACTGTATTACTTGAACAATTTCAAAAACACTGCTTAGTCTGCATTTATTTTATAGAACATATAAATATTAAAATATACTTTACTGACATAAATACTTGGTCAAAATTTTAATAGGTCTCAGATAATTGAACTACATTTGGGCATAGTACTTTAAAGCTATACTTCAAGGTATACTAGGTATACTGAGGCCAGGTGTGGTGATGCACACCTATAACCCAGGGCTGTGGAAGTTGAGTCAGGAAGATCTTGAGTTAAAGGCCAGTGTAGGCTACTTAGCAAGTTCAAGGCCAGCCTGGGCTACATCCTGGAACCCTGTCTCAAAGCAAACAAACAGGTATATTGAAGCTATTTAGAAAAAACTGAGATCAGACCTGCTAAGTTATAGCACAGACACTTCCTTTTACAGTTTCATGGTAGATTCTTTTTTTTCTTTTTCTTTTTTTTTGGGGGGGATGTTGAGACAGGGTCTCACTAGGTAGTTGAGACTGACTTGGAACTCACTGTGTAGCCCAAGCTGGTCTTGAACTCACAGCGATCCTCCTGCCTCAGCCTCGCGAGTGCTGGGATTACAGGCGTGCGCCACCACACCTGGCTCTTGGTAGATTCTTAATAGGACTTTTTCAAATGAGAAAGCCATTTGAATCAAACCTTGCTTGAATAATGTTGGCCTTCCCCTCTTCAACTTTTTTAGGTGATGACATGTGTTTGGTGTAATAAAAAAGGTCTCTTGGCTACAAGTGGCAATGATGGCACCATTCGGGTATGGAATGTTACCAAGAAGCAATATTCACTGCAGCAGACATGTGTGTTCAACAGATTGTGAGTGCCAACTTCGGCCATACAGCATTTAAGGCAGTACTCATCATGCTTCATCATGTAGCCAGACTGTCACTATTTTTAGAAACTTTGCTTTTAGAATAATAATACTAGATCTCTAATGTGTAGTTTTAACTTTCAGGGTAGTTATTCAGAAAATACAAATGAAAATTATCTCTATTTAGATTTAGAATTAAATAAGGATCTACTGGCAAATAAATGTTAGCTAAATAAAATAGGTTAATTTTGCATCAATCTCAAGAGTTGTTTGGAAATTAGAGCAATTATATTGCTTTCATATTGAAATGTAGCATTTTAAATAATACTGTAGCCAGGTATAGGTATTTTTTTCCCTGAGGACTCCCTAATGATTAGACAAGCAGAAATCAATGAACTCTGAATAAACATGTGGGCAACCCATACAAAGTCTGAAGGTCCTTGCTTACAAATTGTGCTAATAATTAAGTGATGAATAGTCAAGGCATCATTCTTTTATAATTTGACATTTTTCACATGATGATAAATACTAGCAGATACTGCCAGTATTACCAACCAATGTTTTTTAAAAATCTGCTATTAAGTATTCTAATCTATATGAATTCTTTATTTTGGGGTTTTGTTTACTTTTGGGTAATAGGGAATACAATTCGTATATGCCTCTCGTATTCTAGGGAAGGGGATGCTGAGGACAGCCTTGGGTCACCTAGCGATCCAAGCTTTTCACCTGTTTCTTGGAGTATCAGTGGGAAATACCTAGCAGGGGCTTTGGAAAAGATGGTGAATATCTGGCAAGTTAATGGTAAGAGCCTTGTAAATACAGGTAAACTGCTGAAGCCTTTCTCTTAGCCTTCTGAGTCCAACCAGTGGCTTCTCTTTACTTTGACATTTATAAACTATTTATTGACATTTATAAACAACTCTGAAAATCTGTGCATAGTGTGGTTTAAATGAAGAGAGCAAGCCCTTGTCTTCTGATTTGTCTTTCTAGAAGTTATAACCTTGTAGTTGTAAACTAAAAATTCTTTTAATGTACAATTAAGTAGTTCTGAAGAAGACTTAGTTATCAGTGAATTTTAAACTATATTTTATTTTGAACCACTTGAAATATTTTGGTTATTTTTCTTTCACAGATACACATCTTATCAACTTATTATATCTCTCTAGAAAATAGAAATTATTGTAATGTTTGGCTTAGTAGTGTTTTCATTCATTTTTGCCTATTTGAGAAATAGCTGTTTCACATATTTGAGGAATAGCTAACCCTAACTACAGGTAAACTAGTCATGATAACTTGGACTTTAGTAATGATTGGAGAGAGTATGTTTGACATTGGCTGCTAAATATTTTGCTTTATTTTCTCTTCTGTTAAGCTATCTTTTTTGCCCTATTAATAGTTACCAAACAAAAGCCTATTGATTAGATAATGATACTTAGTTCAGAAATGAATAATCCTGTCTTCACAGACCTATGGATTAGTAGGCTATTGTGAAAGCTGGGCATTGCATTGAGTATATCAGTAAGTAGTAATTTTTTTTTGTTCATGGTGTTTTTGAAAGAATTAAATGAAAACTAGGTAACATTTTCTCCCTCTCTAGGAGGAAAAGGATTAGTAGATATTCAGCCTCACTGGGTATCTGCCCTGGCTTGGCCAGAAGAGGGTCCAGCAGCAGCCTGGTCGGGAGAGTCTCCAGAATTACTGTTGGTGGGACGGATGGATGGATCTCTAGGACTGATTGAAGTTGTTGATGTGTCCACCATGCACCGTCAAGAACTGGAGCATTGCTATCGAAAGGATGGTAAATGTCTGCACTTGTACCTGTTTGAGAAAGTTCCCCTCAAATGAAATAATCAAATTGTTTTGTTTTGTTTTGGCTCTTGCTTTTAAAATTGTTAGGTGAGTATTACTTTTGGCAGTGTTTTCTCATTTTCACTTGGTTCTTCACTGTAATTATTGTAGTTGCTGATTTGAGAGCTATTTCTCTCCCAATCTCTGTCACACCTCTATACCAAAATGAGATTTAGTCATTCCTGCTTGTGTAAGTGACTTAACATTTAAAAAAGGCTCAAGTCTCCCTTTGAAATTACAACTTTCCAAGGGCAAAAATTAATCATTGGTAGAGATGAATTGAGAAAATGGGAGAAGGTGGAGATAGAAGGAATTCTGCTTACATTTCCTCCTCACTGTGTACTCTACTAGAGGCATCTCCCTACTAATTTTTTTTTAATTATTTTGGGGCAGTGGAATAATTCACAGGACATAGTGTTGGCACTTTATTAACACAGAAGGTTTTTTTAAAAAAATCTAGTTTAAACATTTGTTTAGTTTAAAATTTAATTTTTAAAAGGTAAAAAGCCTTTTTTCCATCCACTCAATTCTCATTCCTGACCAACTTTTATAGGTACTGTTTTTTTACTTCTTTTCTACTCTTCCATTATTTATATTTAAAGAAGCAAAGATGAATGTAGATTGTTAGACTGCTCTGGAGAGTATGGGAACACACTGAGTAGGGAATAGTAAAGAAGCGGAAGGGGCAGGCAGTTCTTGACTTGGATTATTTCACATCTCAGTTTTATGGTAGAGTTTTTCCAAAAAGAACCTGGTACAGCAACTTAAAATCATTTGAGGAATCCATTTGTTGTTTCTTTTCCAACAACCTCTTTTAAAAAAGGAGATATAAAAATGAGGTAATCTAGCTGGGGATTTAGCTGAGTGGTTCCTCTGCCTGCCTTGTAAGCACAAGGACCCAAGTTTGATCCCTGGTACCAAAAAAAAAAAAAAAAAAAGACACTTAAAAATGACACACTTCTAGCTGGGCATGGTGGCACACACCTGTAATCCCAGCACTCAGGAGGCTGAGGCAGGAGGATTGCTGTGAGTTTGAGACCAGGCTGGGCTACATAGTGAGTTCCAGGTCATTCTCAAGTAAATAGTGAGACCCTGTCTCAAAAAACGAAAAAACTACCCCCCCCCAAATGACACTTCTAAAGTGGAAATGCCTGCAGTAAATCTACACTTTGTCTAATGCATTAATGTTTGTAATCTTATTTCAGTGGTTGCAGTAGCATATATTTGTTTTGAAGTCTCTGTGTTTTAAGTCATATAATGACAAATCTCCTTCTGTTCTTTTTTTTTTTTTAATTTTTTATCATTTTAGTGTCTGTTACTTGCATTGCTTGGTTCAGTGAAGACAGACAATTTGCAGTGGGGTATTTTGATGGAAAGTTGCTGCTGGGAACAAAGGAACCCCTTGAGAAAGGAGGCATTGTTCTCATTGATGCACATAAGGTAAATGTGGCTGCACCAGATGGTTACTTTTTCTTTTTTGCTGTAATATTTCTTTTTTTTTTTCCCTTAAATTTATTGGTACACTTTAAATTGAATAATACATTTACATTTATCTTTGGGATCTTGTACCTTTAGATGATATGTCTTGGTTCTTATTTCTTCCCCATACCCCTTCCCTCCCTTCACCCCCTTCACCCTTCTCTATTTACAAAGACTTTGGTGCCGGGCGTGGTGGCACACACCTGTAATCCCAGCACTCGGGAGGCTGAGGCAGGAGGATCGCTGTGAGTTCGAGACCAGCCTGGGCTACATAGTGAGTTCCAGGTCAGACTCGACTACATAGTGAGACCCTGTCTCATTGAGGGGGGAAAAAAAAAGAAAAAAAAGAAAGAAAGACTTTGTTGCCATTTTTTTCCTTTTTTCACATTTTTCTTTTCCCTTATTTCCTTTTCCCCTCCCCTTCCCACTTCCCCTTTAGCCATTTTCTTCTAATTTCATACTATCCATTATACCATTTGAACCTTTTTTATACTTTTAGTTTTTCACACCAGAGAAACTATTTGATATTTACTCAAGTGTGTCCTATTTATTTCACTTAAGAGTATAGCCTCAATGTGCATCTGTTTAGCTAGAAATGTCTCTAGTTTCTCTCTCTCTCTCTCTTCTCTCTCTTTCCTTCTTTCTCTCTCTTCCCCCTCCCCTTTTCTCTTTCTCCATTTCTCTTGCAGGTCTGGGGATTGAATCCAGAACATTTACAGTGAGCTGCATCCCTGGATCATAATGTGCCACCATGCCCAGCTTAGTTTCTCATTCTTTATGGCTGAGTAGTACTCCATTTTACAGAAAAACCACATCTTTATCCAGTCTTCATGCTGTTATATTTCTTGATACTAGTTTCTTTAAAAGATTTTTTTAGATCAGACACTTGTGATTTAATATTTTATACAGTCTTTGGACCATGTATATACATGGAAACTTGTATTGAAAAAGCCATCCAGCCAGGAAATATTAGTAAAACCAAAACAGTGAAATAGGAATATTGTGAGAATACCCTCTGTTCACAGTGTGTACCAAAATTTTATATCAGTCACTTACGATTTAATATTTTACACAGTCTTTGAACTGTGTATATACACAAGAACATCTATTAAAAAGACCAATGAAGTCAGGAAAAATTAGTAAAGTCAAAACAGTAAAATAGTAATACTGTGGGAATATCCCCTCCTCACAGTGCTTCCTCAGAAATTCTACTTGTGGAGGAGGATTTCTTTACCTTAGGCAGGATCTGCCAATTCAGATATTTACAGGACCGCCTGGGCAGGTAACACAAATACACGAAACCAGGAGGGTTAAAAAAAGTCAGAAGAGGAAAATGGACAACATCTGGAGAATAGAGTGTTGAGTGAAATAAACCAGACACACAAATGTGAATACCATGTAGTGTCTCTCATTTGAGAGAGAAGGTACAAAGGAGGAGAGTAACAGGCTGGATAGAAGGAGACAAGGGCTGGCTCTCTTGCAGATAGGAAGGCGTCCAAGTGCTAAGGATGAGGGGCCAAGGGGAGGGGAAAGGGAATCAGTAGAATAAAGATAGGCCGTGTACAGGAACCTATAGTCCGATGGATGTAAACAGCACACACCATAACATGAGCTAAGATTAATAGTATCAGCGAGAATGTGAATGAGGAAAAGGGGGTTTAGACGAGGAGGAAGGAAGCTGGAAGGGAAAACGTTCAAGAAAAAAAGGAACAAGTTGTATTATGTACGTGTACCCATTCCCTAAGATGATTGTAAACTGCATGTACTGCAGACATGTACTAATAAAAAAATTTTAAACTAAAAGAAAAATCAGAAGAGCACAGTTATCATAGCCATATAAACACAGAACATGCGCTAGATTTTCATAAGTGTTTGCTCATGTAGGGTAAGAGAAGCTTCTTTTTTATTCTTAAAAGTTTTTTTCACACTGTAAGAATTATCATTCAACGTAATGACTTTTAATAAATGTATGTACAAATGAAAGATAACATACCCTTTCAGAGTGCTAATTTCATAATTTATCCCACTTAACATTTCTTGAGCTTTGTCTGCCACAAATGCACTTCATGTAGACCACATTTAAATGGTGAATTGCCACAGTGCTTGGAAATGATTCGGCGGTGTCTGATTCACATAAAATGTTTGTTTTAAAATATTTGAATTCCAGAAATACAGGTCATAAATTATGGAAATTATTTGTAAACGAAGCATTACTGTGATTTTTCCCCTCCCTCTACCATTTTAAGGATACTCTTGTCAGTATGAAATGGGACCCAACAGGTCGTATTCTTATGACATGTGCCAAAGAAGAAAATGTGAAGCTCTGGGGACCTATGTCGGGATGCTGGCGCTGTGTGCATTCACTCTGTCATCCATCTACTGTGAATGGCATTGCTTGGTGCAGCCTTCCAGGGAAAGGATCCAAGTTGCAGTTACTAATGGCTACGTACGTTATAAATTTGTCTGTCTTAATTTTTATATTAGTGTAGACTGTTATCTCCATTAGATGTGGCTTCCTGTAGTCTTAAAACAGTTTATTGCCAGTTACTGTTCATGTGATGTGTAGTACCATAAGATCACCTCAGAGATCTTAGTGTGAAACTTGGTATGTAATCTCCTTACGTGATCTTTTTTTTAAGTGGCTGTCAGAATGGCTTAGTGTGTGTTTGGCGTATCCCACAAGATGCCACACAGACCAGTGTGACTAGCGCTGAAGGATGGTGGGACCAGGAGTCACATTGCCGGGTAATGTTCTGGTGTTACTGAAGACCATAAATAGTACATGCTATCAAAAGTAGTTTTCCTTCAGTATGACACTCACTGCCATACCCTAAAGGGTAAGATCTACTAGGGAAATGTAAGTCGTTGTCATCCTTTGTGTGATCAAGTTAGCTTTTTTTAAATGTAAGCCAGAGACACTATAAATTGCTTTTGAAGGTGAGATATTTAATGCATATTGAGTAGTGATCATTATTGTGGTGTTAAATAGAATAGATGCTAAATAGACCCATCCTGTCTTTGGTATAATTAAGTAGGACATCATGGGAGCCCCAGAGTACCTCTTTCTGATGCCAAGAGTCCACCTATGAAGAATCTTAAACAGAAGTTGCAGTTCTTTATAGATTCATCTCGATACGTAATACAAAGTTCATGATGCTGAAAGCTGGAAGGCGAAGATGGAGAAGGTCAAAAATAGGACAGCCATCAAGAAGCAAGAAGCACACTTGGCTTCATATAAAAGGCACAGCTGCCATAGAGCTGATTGTCATTCTCCAGAATCAACAGCCCATTATTAATAGAGTGGCTGACGTTTAATAGAAGCCCCAAAACCCAGTGTCTTAAGTCAAACCTCCCAGTATTAAACACTGGCACCTGACTTGAACTTCTTTAAAGCGCTAAGTGGCTAGTGAAATTGTCTTCCGCAACTACCAGTAAGTTTCTGTTTTGACTGTGACGCAGATAGCCTTGGATGAAGCATCCTCTTGCAGTCTGTGAGTGTATGAGTACATCGGTCTTATGTTTTGTCATAGCTGGACAGAAGAGGGCAGCCAGGAAGGTGAAGAGGGAGGGAAGGAGTAGCCAGTGCTCTAATAGAAGGAAAATATCACAGAAATGAAAATGCAAGCAATGAAGGTAAACCTTGTTTGCTCTTTGTCCTTACAAGTGGCCTGTGGAATTTCTAAAGCCCATAGAGCAAACATATTGGTTAAACAAACCCTAAATGACAGACAGAACCATCAGCCAACAAAAAGAGAAGCCTATCCATATAGGATTATCTGTGAATCCACAGGTGTTGGGGGACATAAGTGAAAATTACAGGACACTAAAATTAAGTGGTTTAAAAGCAGAAGTCAGAGCTGCACAGTGGTACACACCTGTAATCCCATCTACTCAGATGGCCGAGGCAGGGGGATCACAAGCTGGAGGCCAACCTGTACAACTTAGTGAGACCCTGCCTCAAAATAACATTTATAAAAGGCTACAGATGTAGCTAAGAGGCAGAGTGCTTGCCTGACATGTACAATGCCGTAGGTTCAATCCCCAGCATATCCCCCTGCAACAAAAGAATTTTTCTGTGTCTGAAGGCTACTTGGAACTTTGAAATATAGTAATTTCTGCCAATTTGGAGGAAGAAAACTAGTTTAGAAATGAATCAAAAAGGGTGAAACTAAGCTTCAGCAAAGGAGAGCTGGATTTCTAGTTCATCATTCATCAGTAAGCCTAGCTAGCCCTCTCCTAACACTCAGTTTTATAATGAAATGTAAAATTTCCCAAAAATGAATTGTCTGAAACCTATCAGTTGTTTTAATTTTAATATATGGTAACAATAATGAATTGCAGGATGGATATAGGAAATCGACAGGAGCCAAGTGTGTTTACCAGCTGCGGGGGCACATCACTCCAGTTCGGACTGTTGCGTTTAGTTCTGACGGCCTGGCCCTCGTATCTGGTGGGCTTGGTGGGCTCATGAACATTTGGTCTTTAAGGGTAAGAGCATAGATTTTATTTTATGTTAAGGAAAATTTTTACAGTAACTTAGATATATATGATATTAAATATATATGACATACAGTAACATAAATATATATGATAAAAATCAGTGCTAGGAATATGTTTGTAATAATATCTTGAATACTGAAGAAACTTTTAAGAATCCTCTACCCTTTAATTTTTTTTTTACTCATAAGTATTTTTAAAGTCTTCTAGGCCCTGTAGAATTGGAGTAGTCAGTAAGCAATTGGACATTGTTGAATTTAGCTAAAATACAGATTTTAGAATATGTTTGTTTGGTTGTTTTGTTTTGTTTCATTTTTGTTTTTTGTTTTGGTACTGGGGATTGAACTCAGGTCCTTGCTCTTGCAAGGCAGGCGGTGGAACCATTGAGCTAAATCCCTGGCCCTAGAATATGTTTTTATGAATGTATAGATTTTAAATCTCAGTGATGCCTAAGGTAAAGTGATGAGTATTGATAAATATGTTTCATTTTAGGACGGCTCAGTCTTGCAAACTGTTGTTATAGGCTCTGGAGCCATTCAGACTACAGTATGGATTCCAGAAGTTGGAGTAGCTGCTTGCTCAAATAGATCAAAGGTAATGTTAGAGTCATATCAAGTCATAGGATATATGCCTGTAAGGAATCGTAGTCACAGAGGAGAAACATGATACTAAAGGGATTGTTACTTACCAAGATAAAGCAGCTACTCTGTGGTAGAAAGAATTAGAACCTAGGTCTTCTGATTTGTTGTCCAGTACTCTTTCTGCTGCCCCTTGGGCTGTGGTAAGAGTGCTCAATTTTTTTTTTTTTCTTTTTTGGTTTTTTGAGCTAGGATCTCACTGTGTAGTCTAGGGTGGTCTTGAGCTCATGGAAATCCTCCTGCCTCAGCCTCTTGACTTTTTTGGTTTTGAGCTAGGATCTCACTGTGTAGTCTAGGGTGGTCTTGAGCTCATGGAAATCCTCCTGCCTCAGCCTCTTGACTACTAGAATTACAGGTGTGTGCCACCATGGCTGGCCAAAAGTGCCTGTTATTGACTGATTTCATTTCCTTTGAGAGATAGAGATTTTGACTTTTTGCCATCATTTCTCATAGTCTTTTATTTTCTGCCATCATTTTTGACATAGCACTAAACCAACAATGACAAATCTTTTAGAGCTTTCAGTGATACAAACAGCCTGCTGCTGCATGCATGCCATAGGTTCACCACTACTGCATTAAACTTATCTGAAGTTGGGGATTTAGCCCAGTAGTGCTGCACCTGCCTTGCAAGTACAAGGTCCTGAGTTTGATCCCCGGTACCAAAAACAAAAAAAATCTTACCTCAAGAATTTTCTCTGAAAAAATGAAATATATCTTGAAGACTTAACTCTTTTTTTTGGGGGGGGGGTGCCGAGGATTGAACTCAGTCCTTGCACTTGCAAGGCAGGTGGCAGGACCACTGAGCTACATCCCTGGCCCGACTTAACTAATTTTTGCAAAATACATCTTGGCTTTCAAATTTAAGATTCTAGTAAAATACTAGCAGCACACTGTGAAGTAATTATATGGTATATTGTCACCCACAGGATGATTTATCATTCTCTTAAATATAAGAGCAAATATATTACTTTGGTTTACATTTTATATGGCTAACTGATGTTAAAATAAGCTATCAATTTAACATGTAGTCTGACAAGAAGTAAAATATAAAAATTATCCATTTTTAGGAGTATTTTGTATAATGTCTTGTAATATAAGGAGTATTTTCTGTAATACCTGAGGTAATAGTGGCCTTTGTATATAAACCATTGAGCTAGAGTAGAATAGTTCTGCTGCTTTTGCAGATGTGTTTCTTGGCAGACAGAGAACTTTATCTTTTCATATCCTCGTGTTCTTTCATGTCAGACTTTTGAAATATGCTAATTCTTTGTCCTTTAAGTCCTGTGAAATAGCAAGTGGTTGACATTGTTTCCTTAAAGAGAATCAGCTAATAGCCAGGGATGTAGCTCAGTGGTGCTGTGCCTGCCTGGCAAACACAGGTCCTGAATTCAATCCCCAGTACTGAAGAAAAAAAAAAAGAGAGAGAATCAGCTAAGCCAAAGCTGTTCACACATTGCACTATTTTTTTTCACTCATTTTACTTACACAAAATTTACAGTGGTTTAACATTCCATACACACTAAAAATACAGCCTTTTGGGATGTGAAATTTTAAAAAAAGCAAAGATGTTTAATGTAGTGTCTGTGAATTCTCAGATTGAAAAATGATAGCATTCTCTTTTCTTTAAATGTTTATCTTGTGGCATGATTTGTTTTCAACTAGGATGTTTTGGTTGTAAATTGTACAGCAGAATGGGCTGCTGCCAATCACGTTTTAGCGACCTGTAGAACAGCCCTGAAACTACAGGGTGTGCTGGGATTGAACATGGCTCCCTGCATGAGAGCATTTCTGGAGAGGCTACCCATGATGCTTCAGGAGCAGTACGCATATGAAAAGGTAACTCACACCCTCCTAGAGATCCACAGATGCTTGATACTGTAGAATATGAGTTACAGCTTTGAATTTATCCTCCAAGAGCATGAAGTCTGAGGAAAATGAGTACAGTTATTTGAGCAGAATCAACTTAAGTCATTTGTGCCTAAAAAGAGTTGATCAATAGTTCCAAGCCAATTTTTGTAAATACAGTACAAAATAAAACCATAATCCTTACTTTTGTAGTATTTATATCATTCTTTTTCAGGTAATTTTTCTCATTCCAAAACTTCTTAATATATTGTGCCTTAGGGTATGATTTCCCTTTTCTGACTTGTATCCAGTGTGTATGGCTGTGCCTTCCAAAGTTGGGGTTGGAGGGCTACTTCGGTATGGATGTGGATGTCAGAGTGTACATCCTCTCCTTTACCAGGTGATTCTTTATGGGAAGTTTAGTAGAAGAGCAAGGACTGAACTGAGTAAGGTCATTAAATACTAGAATGAAGAATTGTTGAATTTGGACCCATTGTCCGGGCAGTAATCCTAGGTAGCCTGTCTCCTTGCCCTTGGTAGTCACAGGCAGTACTCTCTGGGTTTCATTTCCTTCTTTGTTTGCCAAGCTACCTTAGTACAGTCCACTGTTAACCACACACAGTGAGTTTCACTGAGGTATTTATCCAGAATGTCTTTTTTGAACCTTGCAGTCTCTCCCAGAGTTGCTCTGCCCTTACGAGGGAGTGCCATTTTCCTTTGATGGCTACCAGTATTCTCTTGGTAAAAGAAGAAATGTGAGAGGAGATAGGTCTCCAGTTTAGTTGTTCTATGTCTGCCTTTTTTTTTTTTTTTTTTTCAATTGGGGGAAAAAAAAATCCAATGAAAATCTGTTACATGCTGTGTGATACCCTGGATCGGATCCTAGAGCAGAAAAGGAGTCTTAGTGAGAAAAGCAGATAAAGCTCTGTGATTGTCAGTATTATGCCAGCATTAGTTTCTTAGTTTTTATAAATATGCCATGGTTATGTGAGATGTTCACATTAGAGAAAGTTGAGTAAAGAGTACAGTATATGAGAATTCTCTGTGCTGTGTCTGTAATTCTGTAACTTTAAAATTGTTTGAAAAGAAAAAGTTTAAAAATAGTAAACAAACTATAATCACAGGCTTTTAAAACAGATTAAGTTAATTTAGAATTGAGGCTTCTAACATAACGTTCTTGCCTTTCAGCCTCATGTGGTTTGTGGTGACCAGCTTGTTCACAGCCCCTATATGCAGTGTCTGGCTTCCCTTGCTGTGGGACTTCATCTGGATCAGCTGTTGTGTAGCCCTCCAGTGCCACCACACCACCAGAACTGCCTCCCTGATCCTGCATCCTGGAATCCAAATGAGTGGGCCTGGTTGGAGTGTTTCTCCACGACCATCAAGGCTGCTGAAGCCCTAACCAACGGGGCCCAGTTTCCAGAGTCTTTCACAGTTCCAGATCTGGAGCCTGTTCCAGAGGATGAACTTGTGTCCCTAATGGTAAATATTACATTGCCTGCTGTTGCTTGTAACTGAGATTGTATCATGGAGGTCTGGATGCCGCAGACCCTTAATAACTTTTGCTGGCTTGAATAGTGAGCCACATGGGTATGGATAGACTGAAGTTACTCAATGGCAGGCCTGTGGTGACAGAGGTTTATTGTGTTAGAGCTTTGGAACTGGCTCTCAGTGACATATCCTTATTTGTGTATATTTTAGAATTTTTTTTTCCTGGTCATATTGTGAGATTTATATCACATAAAGATTTTAACTTATTTGGAACTTTAATTGTGCCTCTAGTCAGAGTCAAATAAGAACATGAAAAGGCGTTCAAGTTGTTACCTCTTTTTAATTGTATTTGAGAGTATCAAGCCATAGAAATGGTGATATAGTAAAATGCTTATGTAGATGAGTGCAGGCCTGCACTTGATCTAATGGCCCCTTTAATTAGTAAAGATACAGACATTTGAATATAGAAGTATAGCTATAAATGTGAAACAGACAAATATGAATGGATGAAAATACTCTATATAATGTATAGATAGTATAGAATATTTAAAGAAATTTCCTAAACCTATTTGACTCAAATATGTCGCTTTGTAGTTGTAGCAGTTGATGCCTAAAATGATTAAGAGATCTACCCATAGCTACATGGGAAGTCGACCGGGACAGTAGCTCTTGTCTGTGACCTTGAGCCTGTAGGTGCTCAGGTGAGCTTTAACTCATCATGCCAATAATGAAAATGCTAATGAAAGAGCTTACAGTAAAGGCAAATATTAGCAATGCATACAATCAAGTTTGAAATGATTATAAAGCTACTCTTGTCAGCAGTGGTGGTGTGTGCCTTTAGTTGGAGCTATTTGGGTGACTGAGGCAGAATAATCTCTTGAGCCTTGTGAGAGTCCGAGACCAGCCTGGGCAGCACAGTGTAACTCTGGCTCAGAAAAATAATAATAAATAAAATGAACTTCTCTTGTCTGAGTACTACTATATTGTACTTTGGAAAGAAGAATTTGTCATTGAAAAGCTTTGTTGTTAGTTAAGAAGAGATATATAGCCAAGCCTGGTGGTGCAGGTCTGTCATCTCCGCATGAACACTGCGACCGGAGGATCACCAGGAGGAGTTCAAGGCCAGCCTGGACTATACTTAACGAGATTCTGTCTCGAACAAGCAAACAGAAAGAACAGATATGTAGATTGGTCCTTAACAGTATTGATTCTGATATGTGCTCTGTCTTGCAGGATAACAGCAAATGGATCAATGGCATGGATGAACAAATCATGTCTTGGGCAACTTCCAGACCTGAGGTCAGTCAGTTGGAGATAACGCTATGGTAGTTCTCAGTCAATCTTTTAATTCTAAGCACACATGCTTTGGCACCCCCGTGTCCAGCGCAGAGGTTGGCACACCCTTAGTACTCTAGATGGTTGTTTGAACAAAGAATGAGTCTAATTTTGGTTTCCTAGGACTGGCACCTGGGAGGTAAATGTGATGTCTTCCTGTGGGGCGCTGGTAGGCACGGACAGCTGGCAGAAGCTGGAAGAAATGTAATGGTACCTGCTGCAGCTCCCTCATTCTCACAGGCCCAGCAGGTAATGCTCAAAGTAAAGCATGGGGAAACTTGGAAATGTACAATTCTGATTCCTTTGCTGTTGTTATTGTGGGGAGAAACATGTCCATTTCACAGTCCATTTTGAGGAATCCTGAAAGAAGGTCATGGTGTGTAGCTTTCAACTAAAAGCTTGCTACATTTTTTATCAGGCTTACATTTTGTTAACAAGTTTCTAAGTTTTTCTTGCTTTCCTGTGTAATGAAATCACATGGCAATGCGTTGGGCTTGTGCAGTGTATCTCTATAGAAATTGAGATATTCCTAATGTGTGGTTCTCTTTTGAGGGCCACAAACTTCCCAGAGCCTTTAGCCGGACTACTTGGATCGCATCCTTCAGTAATCATGGCACTGCCTTCAGAACCTCTGTAGTGGCTATGGCTTCCTCTCTTGTTCTCTCTGCCTCCGCTGCCCCAAAGTGTGCACGGCCCTTCGTTGCATGTGTCCCCTTCGGTGTCTGCCTGTTTCTACCAATCTTTAACAGCTCCCTGTTATCCTTTTCCCATTCTTTTCTATTGTGCTGTTACTACTTTAACTCTTGCACAACTGGCTGAAAGACACTGTGATTCTTCTTAGTCACATGGCCCTCATACATGTCTTGATTGAGTAAACAGTGTTGTAGTATCAGGGATTATAGGAGAACCATACTTCAGTCAACTCTTTTCCTTTTAATTAAAATTAGATATAATTTGGTACATATTGAACCAATTCATTGTATATATTCGGTGTATATGTGTGTGTGTGTGTGTGTATAAAATTAAATATAATTTGGAATATATTGAATCAAATCAAATGTTCATGTGCTAAAGGTAGATAATAAAGGATAATATTTTAATTATGTGTTTTTACCCTAGGTCATCTGCGGTCAGAACTGTACCTTTGTCATCCAGGCCAATGGCACAGTGTTGGCTTGTGGGGAAGGAAGTTATGGCAGATTAGGACAAGGGAATTCAGATGACCTTCATGTGCTGACAGTTATTTCAGCCTTACAAGGTAAACTTGTCCTCAATTGTAAAATGGTCAGAAACTTTGACTTAGCTCTAAGGTTGTTTGCTCCTATTAGAACTTCCCACACTTTTGTCAGATGAAATCATAGGCTTTTCACTTACCTCTGAATTCTCATTTAGGCAGTGTGCAACCTTAATTTCCATATTTTAAGATATGTTATTTTGTAAGTTATTTATAACAGCAATTCTAGAATTCAGTGATATGTAAAGAACTATCTTTGAGACCCACTTAAGATTGTAAACAAATTCTTTAAAGGCATGAAAGTGTAATTAGGCTACTATTAGTAGCAGTAGCAATCATGCATATATTTCCTTAAAAATAAAAATTAATTTATATGGAACTATGCAGATGTGCTAGGGACTGTAAAGAGCATGTAAGAGTTCTAAGAGACTTGGAGGAAGAATATCTCTGCAGAAATCACTTAGCTTGATCCCTAAATGGACTTTTATTGACTCCTAAGCCTATATGGAGGGCACGGAAGGGCTTTTAAGAAACAGTTTACCAGTGAGGGTGAGTTCAGAACAAGATTTCTGAGAAGCTGTAGGTTATTTTCCTGGTGGTCTAGTTAGAAGAGCCTAGCAGTACCATTGGGAACAAAACCTGGGTTCTTATGTGTTCCTTCTGGTCCCTGATTCTGGGACTGTACACAAACTACTAGACCTTTTTGTAATTCAGTTTCCACAGTTGTAAAAATGGGGATGATGGGATCTGCCTCCTGTGTTTCGTGTGAAAATAGTGAGATAGCCTGTGTAAAGCACTTGTAACCTATTGGGTTTCTGCTCTGTTCCAGGCTTTGTGGTGACCCAGCTGGTGACTTCCTGTGGTTCTGATGGGCACTCGATGGCCCTGACGGAAAGTGGAGAAGTCTTTAGCTGGGGAGATGGTGACTATGGTAAACTTGGCCATGGAAACAGTGACAGACAGCGGCGGCCACGGCAGATCGAGGCCTTACAAGGAGAAGAAGTGGTACAGGTCAGACAGGACCTGGATGAGTTTGCCTTTGGGTGTAAATGTACTAGTTGTTGAATAGCACTCTTAAATTTAGGTAGCAAGAATAATAGTACACAGGCATTATGCAAGAGTCACTGTTTTTGGTTGTGCAGATTCATTCTTGAGCTTGTCAGATGTTTGAATGAGCTTTGGTGTTAGAATGGACTGCTTTTTCCTGAGTCATCTGGTTGGCCAAGGGTGAGGTGCTGCTGCCCTTGGAAGACGCACCATGGAAATGGGCTGATACATAGACAAAGAGAAGGCTTTGTTTTCAGAATATCATTTTTGTTACAAAAGCTGAGTCCGAATACATTTTCTGAAAATCACCGATCTGATCTAAAATAATACTTTGAGTTTACGAAAAATTTCCCCATTCATTATCTCCTGTAGTCAAGATTAATTGTACCCACCTGAAGAGAAGCAGCAGGTGCTTCAGTTTCTGTTGTTTATTTGCTTGGATTTCCTGAGACTTGTGAGAAAGATCAGACTTGGTGGGTGTGTGTATGTGTGGCCAGAAAGCCACTCGGGCAGACAGAATATACTAGTCTTGAAAATCCTGACTTGTCAGTTAAGTTTTTTGCTATATTAATAACCAGAAGTAATTGATTGATTGATTGATTTCTTAGTGTTCCCTCTCCCTAAAAACTTTTTCTCTCTGGTTCTATCCTAGATGTCTTGTGGCTTTAAGCACTCAGCAGTGGTAACTTCAGATGGCAAACTTTTTACCTTTGGGAATGGAGATTATGGACGCCTGGGTCTTGGAAACACTTCTAACAAAAAACTTCCAGAGAGAGTGACTGCACTGGAAGGATATCAGATTGGACAGGCATGGAATAAGCCAATGCAGTGTTCTAGATTATCATACTTTCTTTTCTCTCTGTGTTAACTTAGATGCTTTTCTTTAGATGATCAGAATCCAGTCGTATAACCTGTGTACATTTTGTTTGGTCTAATTGATGTTTATGTAGCCTTTTAACAGTGTGAAAATACACATTTTGTGTTAGTTTGTTTGGTTTATATGAGAGTTGAGGCCCTAATTCAGAATGTGAATATTTCAAAAATACCTTCCGTAAAGTACTAATACAACTTGCTGTAAAACTTTTAAGCAATACAGATTTTTGTGGTTCCTGTGTGCCATCTTCCAGTTGAATTGCTGAACCGCAGCCTCATTAGTAGCCACTGCTCTGAGGCAATAGTTTTCCCTTCTCTGATGATGGAGAGCGTCTCTTCACAATGGGGTCAGATGTGTTCATCTTTCCCTGTATCATTCCTTAGAGACTGTCTGTTGTGAATGAGTATTTTTTAGCGAATGTACTTTTTCTCCTGTCTTTTGTACCCTTTGATTCTTAATTACCCACAGATATTTAAAGAATTTCCCTTTGAAAAGTTATTTGTACACAGTAGATATCCATTTTATTTAATATTTGAAGTAGGCTCTGAAAAATGAAAGTCTTTGGAGTCATATTCAAGTTTTTCAGTGAATTGGAGAAAAAGAATCTCAGGAACAGGGTGATGTTTTGGGCCTTGTGCTTTGCCTTACTGAACCCCCTGTGGTTTCTCTAGGTGGCCTGTGGGTTGAACCATACTTTGGCGGTATCAACAGATGGCTCCATGGTATGGGCTTTTGGAGATGGAGACTATGGAAAACTAGGCTTAGGAAATTCCACTGCGAAATCTTCTCCTCAGGTCAGTTATTACTTGTAATCTAGATTTTTGGACAACAAAAAGTAGTGTTCATCTATGTCATTGCCTTTTTCTAGTTGGAAATAATTTATCTTTAATATTTTTGGTGATTCCTAATGAAATTTCAAGCTTCTGTTGCTTGTTCTTGAACGTTCAGCATTCTAGATGTTGATTTTAAATACAGTGTTAATATCTAAACTGGACATGAAAATTCTGCAAGGAAAGGCTCTGTCTCTAGACAGGCTGAGCACTGTAGGTCTGCATCCCATTAAAGAATAGAGAAAAGTGTATCTCCAGTGTGTCTTGTGGAGGGAAGTGTGGACAATGCTTGTAATCCTCTGCTTGCAGCTGCTCATTCAGCCTACCATTGCCACTGAATTATATATGTATGCAGCTTTAAAAAAATGTATATAAAGAAAACTGGAGTGTAAATAAATAAAAGCTACTGATCGAGGGTCAGGGATTTAGCTCAGTGGCACAGCACCTACCTGGCAACTGTGAGGTCTTGAGTTTAATCCCCAGTACCAAAAAACAAAACAAAACAACAAAAAAATACAGAAAGGCTATTAATCACACTTTACAAGGTTTCTTGACTCTGCAGAATACCCCTTGTGCAGGTTTTTCTTTTTGGGTGGTGGTGGTAGTAGGGATTAAAGCCAGGGCCTTCACACTGAGCTACATCCCTTGCCCTTTTTGTTTTTTATTTGAGGCAGGATCTCACTAGTCTTTAAGTTGTGCAAGCTCATAATTGGTGTCTTCCTGCTTCAGCCTCCCAGAGTATTGGAATTACAGGAACACATCACTATGCTTGGTTGGCTTCAGTGCAGCTCTCTTATGTGGATTTTCTTGACACATTTAACTAGTATGATTTTCAAATATTTAATTTATATTCAACTTCAGATTCCCCCCACCCGTAATCTCTGACATCTTGATAGCCATATGGGTTAATATTCAACCGAGGAAGGGCTGGGGATTTAGCTCAGTGGTGCCGCCACTTGCCTTGCAAGTGTGAGGTCCCGAGTTCGATTTCCAGTACCAAAAAAAAAATTCAACCAGGGATATGGAGAAGCAGGAAAATCCTTGCTGGGGAATATAGAAAGCCCCTGTTGTTACTTCTGAAGACTGAAATCATCAGACTAACAGGGAGCTGAACCTGGCTTCACATAGTATTCTTTAAAAGGTCCCGAGATTGTCTTTGGTCTCCATTGGCCAGAGGAAGTTTCACTCCACATACGGCTCTGGGGATGTTAGCCACGTTGCCTTTGCCCCTGTTCCCTCCCTCCCACATTCAGTCATTCACAGAGCAGCAGGAGAAAATAACATTTTGAGTATGGATTTGGGTGGAGCAGACAGGCAACAATTAGTATTTGTACTGGAGGACAGTCTTGGTACATTCAAAAGTGGTTTTTTTCTTCTCACTTTAAAAGTGTGTACGTTACACTTTTATTTGCAGAAAGTCGATGTTCTTTGTGGAATTGGAATAAAAAAGGTTGCTTGTGGAACTCAGTTTTCTGTTGCTTTGACCAAGGATGGTCACGTGTATACTTTTGGTCAAGGTAAGGTCTTTTTTAGTTCACATTGCTTTTTTTGCATATATATGCATTATGGGAATATTTGCCTACCAGTTGTATAAAAAAGTGCTCTGAATCAAGTAATCTTTATTCCGTGTAAGTGAATAGCTACCATGCCCCTCGTTTGCTCTCTGCTTTTACTCTTGTTTCATGAACTTTAAGGACATTAAAGCTCTTCATGCTAGTGTCTTCCCTCGTGCTTGAAGAGTACTCGCCAGGGCCTCTCTCTCCTTTCTGCACCTCTGTTGTCCTGCCACAAATATTGCCTTGGCCCCCAGTGCTCTCCTCTAAGACTGCCTCATTCGCAGTCCCTTCCAGGGGCTGGTGCTGCAGATGTTTGGCCCTGGAGGGATTCCCAGGCATTCGGGTGTCAGATTCTGTGTAGATTCGCAGCCAGGCGTTCTTAGGAGGTCTCTTTAATAGTAAATTCACTTTCTTAAGTGGAACTTCTTGTTAGGTTGTAGTGATTGAGGGGTGTGTGAGGCAGGTATGAGGAGGGGAAAGAAATTGTGACTAAAGTTTCTAGGCTTGAAAGAACCTTAGTTCCACTGATTGAGCTAGGGAAGAGTTAAGGAGTTTTAGTCATGTCAGATGGGGCCTTCTGACCCTGACATGTAGGAAAATGTCCAGCAGGCCATGGAGAATTTAGAACTGGAACTCCATCGAGATTGGCTATACAGCATTGGGCTTGGAACATTAGTTTCATAATGATAGTAGTTAAAGCCCTTGCTAATAGGATCTAAGAAACCTGAAGAGAGTGTAGAACAGAAAGAAAGTAGCCCTTGGGGGGAATGTGAGTAAAGGGCTGGTGAGTACAGCTTGAGGCCTTGGGAAAGCTTACTTTGAAAGGAGCTGGTGAGTCAGGGTAGCATGGCACCTCTAGCGACAGCGGAAAGTTACACCAGCCTCCCATGGGCTGGAGCCTGAGAAGCAGCCATGCAGTAGGCATTCAGGAGCCAACTTAGGTCTTTGAGGGTACATTTTCAGTTCAGTGGCCACATGCAAGTCCGACTGCAGAAGGTGGCCATGACAAAAAGTGTAGAGGACATTCAGCAGCAGGCCTGACCACTTTCTAAAAATCTGGCAAGATAGAAAAGTTGGATAGAAATTTCAGAAAAAGACAGATTGAGTGGCATCTTTATTTAGAATGCGAAAAATTCATAGCCTTTTTGAACTATGTGGTAGTTCTTTCAAATATGATGTTAAGGAGCCTCTTAGTTTGAAATAAGCTGCTGGCTTTAGATTTATTCTTTATTTTTATGATGCAGTCTGTCATTTTATAAAGAAACAGCTTTAAGATCTTTTTATTTATTTACAACCTAGTATACCTTGTTAGATAGCCACTTTTGCCTTAGTGAGTTATATACCATGTCATTAAGGTTCCACCATAAAAAGTTAAATGAGTCTGAAACATAAAAAGACTGTGTGTGCGGGCCCGGGATTTAGCTCAGTGGTTCGGTAGCCTGCCTTGCAAGAGCAAGGACCCGAGTTCAATCCCCAGTACCAAAAAAAAAAAAAAAAGACTGTGTGTGTGCATTCATAGTACTTTTGCTGTTTTTTCAGATCGTTTGATTGGCCTTCCTGAGGGGCGTGCCCGCAATCACAATCGGCCACAGCAAGTACCTGTCCTTGCTGGAGTGGTCATTGAAGATGTGGTGGTTGGAGCTGAGCACACACTTGCTTTAGCATCAACTGGAGATGTGTATGCCTGGGGCAGCAATTCAGAAGGGCAGGTAAACATCTGTCTCTCCTGCTGCTCTCTCAGGTTCTGGAAATCTGACAGTGTTCCGCTTGTGAGACAAGGATAAGCTAGGGCATTCCTTATAGCTACCACCGTGTTCCAGGCGTTTCACTTACCTATATGACTGATTATTTTGTGGGTCCAGTTATGCATCTGTCTCTAATTAGTCAAAGAAGTATTATACCATGGTTAAAAAAAAAAGATCTGGCAGTATAGCAGAATGATTAAGGGGATCAACTGGGCATGTGTGTGTGCATGTGTGTGTGTGTCTGCACACAGCATGTGACAAGTGTCTGGCACATAGTATACCACTAAGTGTTTGCTACCTGTTGTCATCATCATCATTACTCTAGTAATATATGAGATTAGAGCCTGAGTATCAGTTGATCAGGATAAAGGAAAGAATGAAATAGTAATAACTTTGTATCTTATAATATGAGCATGTGTAAAGTATATTTGTGTTTGTGCCGGAAATCTTGTCACTCCCATTACTCACAGAAGTAAATTAAGCCTCGGAGAAAATAAGACTCTAGGTTAATATGTTCAGGAAGAGGCTTTGGTGAGAGCTGCCTGAGCTGCCTGCGGCATGAGCTTTTACCCCACATGCAGAGACACCTCCCCCTGCCCTCCATAATCCTCTCTGGATATGGTTGCCCTTCAAGCCTGGGACCCTGAAGTTCCAGGTTTTGGATTATTCATAGCCTCAGTTTGGCTTCTGTGTTCTCCTCACCACTACACTGATAGACAGGGTCGCTGCTCATCAGTGTGGCTGCAGATTGCCTTAATGAGAGGAGAGTTCAAGTTGAAGACACTTTTGGAAATACCCTGGCTAAGCCTCAGCATGAACCTTCCTCCTGATGTTGAGCTGCTTAGCCACTGAACTGCTGGTGTCCCAGTCAAACCCTAAGAACAGATACCTGGAGATCCTGCATGGTTTTATGTGTGTTTATTGTGTTTATCGCCACACGGAAGCCAACGTGTGTTAAGTAGAAGCCCTACAGATCATTCTGTTACATTTTAACTTTCCAAGAACTCATTCCCTTTCCAAACTGGAACCCAAGGATGTGTTTGGTTGTTGAGACTTATCTGCAGGATTTGGAATGGCTGTGAAGCAGCTTAGTTTTTAGGAGACAGTCTGAGCTATGAGGACCATTATAAGATTGAGAAAAATCAGAATTTATTTTGTTAACTGATGCTGGTGCTTGGTGCCAATTGAATTATCTTTACTCCTTCTCTTCCTCTAATTACGTATCTGTATGTTTGTCATTTATCCTCAGCTTGGCCTAGGCCACACCAATCATGTTCGAGAACCAACCCTGGTAACAGTTCTGCAAGGGAAGAACATTCGGCAGATCTCAGCTGGCCGCTGCCACAGTGCCGCGTGGACAGCGCCACCTGTCCCACCAAGAGCACCAGGTGAGGGGCCAAGTGTCCTTGCCCCCACAGCTGCTCTTTCAGCAAAATGCCACTGCACCGTGTGCTTTACAGCCCAGCCTCTGTTGGAAAAACCATGTTTTCCTCCCCCCACACTAAATACTCCACAGTAAGCCTTTCTCTCTCTGACTTGGGATGAAACAGCCCTGCTCCGCAGTCCCAAGAGAAGAAAACGTATCACTTACACAAGCAAAACTTGATGAATTTCGAGCAGCAAGCATGTATGTCATATATACATGACAAATAGCTTTCTAAGGCCCCCTGTTAACAGTAAAGATTAAAAACCCTTCAGTAGTGCCTGTGGGTGCACACTTACAATCCCAGCTGCTCAGAAGCCTGAGGACTGACTGCCACAGCAGGAGGTGAATCCTAGTTAACAACCAAGTGAGCAGTGCTGCCTCTGCTCACAGTTTCAGGTACGCAAGGCCTTCAGTTTCCAGAGAGATTTCACTTCCACTTGAGGAATGTCAGCGAAAGGCTCAGACTCTGGGACAGCACTACAGGGACTAAATCCTGTTTCCTGCATATGCAGTGTGCCTGGCCTTGAGACTTTTCCCACGTGAAAATTGAGAATGACAGTAGTGGCACCTATTGCAAAGAGCTGTAGGAATAAATGAAACAACTCATGAATATTCTTGGAATAGTGTCAGGCACATAGAAGTACTCAACAAATGTTGATTTTATTAAAAGGAGTACTCATACCCCTAGAGGTTGAGCTGTATGGAATTTAATATTGTGTACAGCAAATTACAGAAGTTGGATATCTTTTTAGTCCTTCGCATTTTTTAAGTGGGTGTTTATGAGTCCTTGTAGTCTTTGCAGTAAGAAGTCTTCTTAAATCATTTACCCTGTGTTTCATTCTGTCATGGCCATTTTCTCTCAGATCCCTAGTATATGAGAGGCAGCTCTGCCAAGGTGCCCATTTCTGTTTTTTACAACCTTCCTGGTCTTCACTTGCACCTTGCTTTTTTTTTTTTTTTTTTT